CCTATTTTTTTTTAGGTCAAAACATAAGATTAATTATTAATGGCAGATTTACAAAATCAGTTGTAAGTATTGTCCTAGTCCTCTGTGAGATGAACGTTTGAGGAACTTACTTGTTTCTAGCCCCTGTCAATTGTATCATTGCATTTAGCCGGTCAGCAGTACACGGATCAAAGGGCAGCTATAAAAACGGCATTTCGTACCTCTCCATTAACTGTCTAGATTATGAAAGGACTGTGCCAAGAAAATCCTGAGATTTGCTGTTCCCACATTGTGTACTTTTGGTGTTGGTAAACGCAGTGTGCTAAGCAAAGCGACATTTGCAGAAAATTCCTGTAGCAAACCTCAGTGCAAGATCCTACTGGAGGAGGAAGGTGATTATTTATTTGCAGAAGCCCTTGATAAGCTCCTTTTACCCAGCCAAATTTATTCTCTCAGATTTTATTCACCCACACGATCACAGCTAAATACTTGTAGGTGCCAAGACGCATGTGCACAGGTGGTCGGCCTGAAATCAGAGAGGACAAGGACCTTCAGCCGTCCCATCCTCACTTTCTCTTCTGGGTTCTTGAGGGTGACAGGGTGGGTTTTGGTCAGGTCTGCTATGCCGTCTCACAGCCAACAGCTTCTATGCTGCCACCTTTTTGCTTCCAAATTTTGCTTGGTGCTCCATGAATCTTAGGCAAGGTTTTTTTTCCCGTGATATTTATTTTCCCAGTTTGGGTGTCTCTTCAGCTGCAGCCTCTCTCCCTTTTGGAGCGAGGGGCGGAGGGAAGGGGTGTATGGGCTGGGGTGACCTGCCGGCTGTCCTCCTGCTCTCTGAGCGCGGGTCTTCCAGCGACAAGTGATCTGTGCTGGGCCTTTGCTGAGTGCTGGCCTTGGGGGGGTATAAACAGCACCTTCTCACAGTTTTATTGCTGTTGACGATGTTCTTGGTTGTCGGTGCGTACCACTGTGTTAGCCTTTGCTCCGTTGTTTCTTCTGGTGCTTTCACACGCCCCTCCATTCATTCGTTCTTTGTATCAGCCAGTATATCAACTTGTACATCTTTACAGTGCTCAGAAGTATCACGAACCGTGAACGTTATCACCGGTGATATCGCAACCCAGTGATAGCTCCAGCAGAAAGGCTCCTTTTTAGTTTGTCACACAGTCCTATGAGCCACCTTGGATCCATGACTCGTTTCCCTGACCTTTCAGTGTCACCCAGCACAGTTTGGACACAGCTTTGTCAGATTTAGTTATGGCAGCTTCATTAAAATGATTTCCCCGTCCCGGTTGCTCCCCCAGCGCAGAGCAGCATGCCGTTGGTATGGATCGGTTCAGGTCTGGTTTTTGGGTTCTGGTACAGACGGCGAAGGATCCACCTGTGATATATTGAACAGTCAAGGCAGAACGAGGAGCTGGTCTGCTCACCCCCAAGCCCCAAACCTTTCCAGTTGCTTCACTGTTAAGGATACGCTTCCCTGAACCACGTATGTGAGGTCACCTTCACCGTCCCCCTCTAACCGATCACCGTACGTCACCACCAGCAGAAACGCGTAGGAGAGGGGCGGCAGCTGGGAGTTGCGTCTCCAATAGCCTTCGTCAGGCGTGGGTACCGCGCTCCTCCTCAACGTGTTCCCCTCGACTTCACGGTACAGGTTTCGTGATCAGACCAAGGCGACTACTAAGAAAACAGTTAGCTGAGGTGCAGTAGGTATAGCTTCCAAAAACGCCTCCAAAAAGCTGCATGCAAGCCCGTTCCTGCTTCCCCAGCAGACTGTATTGCACAGGAGCTGGGTTTCCAGCTCTTTTACAACATATCGCTGCGATGCACAGCTCAAGTGACACGTAACGCTTATTTAGCAGTTCTGCTCGAGCACTAGGCTGGGCATGATCAAACATGTTATTTTTCAGCCGCTGGCGTTGATTTATCACTTGGAATGAGGTCATTCTGGTACTCCCTTATGAAGCACAGCGGGAGCAATCTTCCAGAACAGAAGGGGAAAAAATGCATTGGCACTGGGGCAGCACTGCTTGGCCTAATCTGGGTCTTCTCCACTTCTCTTGGCTGCTTTTGCCCAGTTCATCCCAGCACCTCCCGCCCCAGACCAGCCCCGCCGCTGTTACCGGCACCCAGAGAGTTGCAGCTCTGCCAGGGCTGATGGACTTCAGCTCTGCAGCTCCTGCTTCCCGGCAGCAACGCGGTGTAAACCTTTGGAGAAAATGGCTTCAGGTGATCCTCCTGGATGTGTTTATCAAACATGACACACAGCCCGTTGCGCTTTACAAAATACAGCCGCTGTGCTAAGCGTGGCAGGGGGGACACAAGTTCACGTACGTGCTCTGCCAACAGCCCGGCTGTCAGCTGGCAGCGTCCCACTGGGGCAAAGTCTTCGGGGAACCAGAAGTTGTTAAAACACAGCAGACGGCTGATAGGGCTGGGCACGTGCTCCAGATCTCATCGTTCTGCTTTCGACTGAAACGAGAGGCTTTTAGATGCCACGGGAACGCTTTCCATTAGGAAAAGTGACCAGAGCCGGTGGTTGCACGTGGTGTCAGTACACACGTGTTCTGATCTCCATTACGTGGGGGTCAGTACACACGTGTTCTGATCTCCGCTACGTGGGCGTCAGTACACACGTGTTCTGATCTCCATTACGTGGGGGTCAGTACACACGTGTTCTGATCTCCGTTACGTGGGAAGCACGCTTGAGAATTTACTGGCTCTGAGATCTGCCCGACATACCATTTTGTTGCCTTCTGAGCACTGAAAATATTCCTTCCAATGCGCTTACCTGGCTCAAATCAGAAATTAATTTATTTTCAAATTTTCTGACGGAAAAAGATTGACAGTCTATGGAATACAGTGAAGGATTTTTTTGTTAATCTCCAATGATATTACTAGTGATCATGGAGACTTTTCCCAAGTACTCCAATGCATCCAGGTAGTTGAAATCCTGAATAATTATTTTTGGTCTATATATACAGGCAAAATCTGAAATGATTGTTTGAAAGCACCAAAGATGCTCTTTAGAAAAAAGGGGACTTAAAGATGGTATAAATCAGGGGAAGAGATCTCCGGATCAGTAACACAGAGGACTCTCAAAGCAGGTGGCTGTTCACTGAGGCAGTTGTTAGAAAGCTGCTGTGGTCAGACAGAAGCACAGCTGTATTTTCCACAGGAAGATTCTCCTTTTCTAATCGCAGCAGCCATCACAAATCTGAGCAGGGTGAGAGAGCAGGTGAGCGTGGACCAAGGCCAGCCAAGAGCCCACGTCGTTCAGAAGCATCCTTGCTACCCGGGCTGCCGGTGGGGTTGGCGTAGGTGGACAGGGCCGCTGGTGCCTCCGCACACCTTCGGGCTTCCAGGGGCTTTGTCGGTTCCCAGGCCTTGCTGGTAGATCCATGAAGTTTGCGGCTGTCGGGTCAAAGCGGAACAGCAGAAGCATCTGAAAGCTTTTATTTTTTTTTACCCCCCAACTATATCAGCCAATCTAATGAGATACGGTACCTGGTGTGGAAATCTGCGTCGCCTTGCGGAAGGGGGAAAAAGTGGTCGGGGTGATTTATTGCAAGCAGAGGAAACATCTCGCTTTCTCTTCTTACTTTCTTATCCTTTGTATTTTCCAAGACAGCAGCAAACTTTTCTTTAGCAGGATATAAAGCATACCGTATTTTGTATCTACTGCAAGACGGAGAGCTGTAACAGTCTGCGATTAAATGTCCCAAGTAGGCAAAGGAATCCTGAACCTTTGACAGAGCGATAGGGATTGTCACAATGCAGCCCTTCCAGTTCAGTGGCTTTTTTAAAAAATGCAAACAGAGCTCATATCGACCCTTTGATCTTGCAAAGAGATTTAATTTTTCTTTTCCTCCTTAGTGTGCTTTACACTCGCTGATCTAACTGGTAATTTTCTTTTTACAGTGCTGCTCAAAATGTATTAATTAGTAACAGCAGTCACAAGTCCTCCGTTTTGCATAGCCGGTGTATATTTTGCTAAAATATAGGCGTTTTTGTTGCGTACAGCGACGAGGAGCCTGATGCGATTATGTAAAACCTTTCTTCTAAACCAACTTGTGGTCCTGTGTAGATCGTAGAAGGCTTATTTCTCAAGGAACAAACCAACGAGGTTTGGGTGCCCCTTGGAATCATAAGGGACAGAAGGAACAGGATTTTTGTCAGCTTCGTGGGCAATAGGGGATGACAGAAAATGGTCATAAACTTTAGTGTCGGTTTGGTTGGTTTAGAACGGTAAAAGTTAAAACCAGCAAAATAGAAGGTAAAACACCTTTTTCCCATTTAGTGTTTTCTTGTGTTGCTGTTACCAGCAGTTTGTTTGGTATGACCACAGCAAATGTGACAGCAATTCATAATTCTTAGACCTTTTGTGCCATATTTTTCCTCCTTTGAAGCACAAGTTTTATCTACTTTAAGTACCCGTGATATGAGGAGACTAGACCGAGTTTACAGATAATCACGTATTATTTAGATTGCTTAAGGGTTAATATCAAAGCTCTCACACAAATGTGCATATATGTGTTACAAATTTAGTAAGGTATATGCTAAGAAAATAATTTTAAAAATTTGCACTGGTTCAGAACATTTTTAAAAGAAACACTGAGCAAGAAAAAAAGATTCTTGAGATCTTTTATTAATGTGTACAATTTTATGTGCCTATTAGTAGCTAAAGGGCCGCCACGTATTTTAGCACAGTCAATTTTTTAGAGAAGAGATGGCGATGCAGATGGGTAAAGCAGTGGGAACGGTGAGGTGCTGCATTATAGCGAGAACTGAATATATCAGTTTATCAGCACGGGAGTAACCAGATAAGCATTAGGTGATCCCATGTTTTCCATGATAAGAATTCTTTGCCTGGGACCAAAACTAAAGCAAAAAGAATGTGACGGTTTGCTAACAGTTTGCAACATGATTTTTGTTAAATCGGTTTGCCCAGCAGTAATTATGTGAATGAAACATCTTTCTGGAGCTAGAAGATAACGACTTGTCGGTGGTAAATGATGGGTAACAGTGGCTACAGCCCCGTCCTGGCCAGTCGGTCAGCGGTGAGTCTCGGCTCTCTGGGGTGGTTGCTCCCACAAAATAATACGAATCACTCGGCAGATGGTAGAAGTTACAGCGGAGGCGGAACAAAGTCAGAAGGTGACCTTTGTTCAGCTAAAAGCAACGTGTGATCCTAGGGAAGAATTGCTGCCAGCAGGCAGATGAGGGTAAAATTGGTAAGTAAATGGTTAGGGCAGAGCTAGAGGTGACGGAAAGAAGCCCTTTGTGTCCGCACGGCTGTTTTTTTGCCGATAACCTAGAGGCACCTTTTCCCTTGCTCTTGCTCAATTAGATAAGACATTGAGAAACAGTTGTTTTGCAGCTTATGGGGATGGAAGAGAAGCGTTTTATCGGGGAAGCTGAAATGAGTGCCAGGGACTGGAGACCACGTGTGGTGTAAGATAGCAGGGCAGCAGCATTCGTATCTGAGAGCCACAGGGTCTCTCGATTGGCCTTACTTTTTCTTTTTCCAGCGACATTTTGGGCCTTAGGGAGACAGAAAGCAGTGAGGTGATGCCGTGGGCTCTCCCTGACTTCTTGCAGAGACTCCCCCGACACTCCCTCGATTGAAATAAGTAGACAATTCTGTCTATGGACACAAGAAGTCTGGATTACACACAAATGGGAACACAAGTCTGCATTAAGATTTTATTTTTTTTTTAATGCTCTCTAAGGACCGGCAGAGGAATGCTTCCTATGTAAACCACCACATAAGCCAGGACTTCCACCTCCGAGGGCCAGTCAGCGTCTGCGAGGCAGGTGGTCAGCCTGCGGCAGGACCCCCCATCCCCGCTCCGTGGGTCTGAACGAGCATCGCTGGGGGACGCGCGCAGCGTGAAGAGAAGGGGGATTTGCCCTGGGCCACTGACCACAGGGGACCGCCTTGATGGATCTTGGAGCTCTCCATCTAGGCCATTCAGATTGGTTTATAAAACACGTTTTAAAAGCTGAAAATAAAGAAAAATGACTCAACTCTACAAGAGGAGGTTTAAGTAAATCAAGGACAAGTGAAAAGCAGAAAGAACCATAAAATTGCAATAAATAATAAGAAATATTGACAAATCACTCGGATATTTGCAAATTAAAACCAAAGTGCTATGTGCTTTGTAGCCAAAAACAAACGAAAAAAGGAACAAGACAAACTGATGGTAATATAGACCGTCTTTACTAAATGACAAATCATTCCTCCTGGTTATCTTCAAAAATCTCTCTGTAGCAAAACTCCCACGGTCAAATTCTCTTTTGAGAGCAACAATGGGATTAGCAGGTTGGTTTGGTTTTTTTTGGTATTTACAATCATACCTTCTCAGATACAGAGAAAACTGAATATATTGATATGATTAAAGACTCGTACGTTGGTAGGGCAGTGTAGATTTCTCTGGTGAATTAAAGAAACCAAGGCCATGCCGTTCAGCTCCGATCCTTTCCTCCTATGTGTCCACCTCCCAGTTACATTACTTTCAGAGCCTTAAAGCTGGGATTTTTCAAATGAAGCACTGTGCATATTTGCAGAGCATTCATACGGCTCTTGATTTAGTGGTCTCTATTGAAGGCACGCGTGAGCATATACTAATCCTTCTTTCATCTCTTTTTTTTTTCCCTTTTTTTCCAGACAACTGAAACGTGCCTATCCCAGTGCTGTAGTTCTTAGTACTGATGACTTCTTTATCGAAAATGGTGTATACCTGTTTGAGCCTGACTTGCTAGAGGATGCACACAAATGGAACCAAAAGAGAGGTGACTGAACGCGATCCAGGGGTTTCGCAGAATAGTTTTGCTTTTCAGGCTGTCTTTAAACTTAGCCCTCAAAATAAAATTGAGTGGCGTCATACGCTGCAGTTCATGGGGCACTGGTTAAAAAAAATACATTTACCACTTCTGATTTTATTTCTTATGTCTTGGAGCAATTTATAAATGAAAAAATGTTGGTGATTGATGGATGTTATTTTAGAAAAGTGAACCAGTGACTGGTAGGTAGCGCTGCTGAAGCGTGGTAAGAGGAGGTAGCATGCAGATACCAGCCCAGCAGCTGCTCCCCACGGCCGTACGCACCGCATCCTTCAGCCTGGCACCTCTTGGGTGTCTGCCCTGACCTGGAAGCGGGGAGGTAGAGGGGGGAGTCAGGGATAGCCAGGAGGAAAACTTGCAAACCTAATTATGCATTTGAGAATGAAACAACCGAGGCCTCTACTTCAGAGAGAAAAATGGGATGTGCTTTTGTGGCTGCGCTCTGAACTAGCAATGGCAAGCATACTTTGAGATCACGTAACAGGGCTCTTTTGCAAATAACAGTCATTTTTAGCTGTTGTAAAGAGCTGGGGCTGCGATACCACTCAGCATGGTCTATGAGAGCGTCAGATCTTACTCCTGAGCGGAGCCAGTGGCTGCATCACCTCCTCCAGGTGAGCGCCTGCTGGGCACCGACCTCTGCGTCCCTTCGGGTGGTAGCTACAAACCCGAGTCTGGTGGGGAACCAAGCGTGCTAGCCATGGGCAAAGAAAGGATGCTTTGGGGCTAGTTAGACCTGGCTCAGTCTGTTATTTAATACATTTTAGCTTTACTGAATGTGTTACATTACAGCACACAAAGCAATGAAGAATGGGAAAAGCCCGGTTATTATTGATAATACCAACATCCATGCTTGGGAAATGAAGCCGTATGTGATGATAAAAAAACTCCGATTTATTGCTTTTATATGCTCAGTTACGACGTTTACAAGATGATCTGACTGAAATGGTTCTTAGTATGGCTAAAGAGAATTATTTCCATTTTCCCTTAGTTCTCTAATTATAGTCAAGAATTGATATTGTGAGGAAGTCGGGGAAGAAGTGCCAGTGTAATTGTTTTATCTAGTCAGCTGTATAACTAACTCAGTGAAGGCAAAAGTAAAAGGATTCACAGCCTTTGACCTTGCCCTGTTACTTCTTGGTGATCAGGATGTCATCCCCTTCCCCAGCAGTGACATAAATTGAATGGTTCCCAAACTATTTGTTGACCAACGTATCAAGATACAATTTTAGTTTATGACTTCTGAAAAATACACCAGAGTCTTCGAAGACGCACTGGTATTTTGTCAGGCGTTCTGGCAGAGATGGCAGTATTTTTAGTACAGTTCCATAATGTGGCCTGTCTGCTAACATTACACTCGTGCTTCTGTTCTGGCATTATGTTCTTGTCGGTTAAGAAATTTGGGCCTAAGTAAGTATTGCGTGTAGAGGAGGACAGAAGAGGTGGGAATTAATAGCGGTGCCGGGACGTGTCACTCCAGCGGCAGTTGTGAATGCTGGGGGGTGACTGGGACGCACGTGAGAGAGCACAGCCAAGAGGCGGGCAAGGTGGAAAAAAGGTCAACAGATTTCCCTGCTTCTTTTCCCCCAAATGAAAACAAAAGCAGTCAATAATTGTATTAAATAGATACACATGGGTATTTGTGTGTGTATGTATATATACAGGTAGACACACAAATATGTTGCTTTACCTTGAAAAAACCTGAAGCCAGTAGCCTCAGTGGCTGGCAGTAGCATGACTGATAGATGTTGCCCTCCCGCTCCCAGAAGCTCCAGACTGGCATGGCCAACCTGCGGCTCTTGAACCATCGGTGACTTCCAGAGAGTTCAAGTGCCAGGATGCCATTGCCAGGGGGGACGGGCCAGGGGGCAGGTTTTGCTGGGAGACCCAAATCCTTTGATGTAGAAGGAAATGACCGAGCTGGGAGTCAGAGCAGCCCCTTGATGGGAGTCACCGTTATCTTCCTCTTTCTGGCTCCTGCTACATATAATACATCTCTTAGCCAGATAAAATTTCAGGGGGTCTGGAAGATTGGCCATACAGCTAAAACTTCTGTGTCCTTCTTCAGGCACGTGAAAATAGATATGAAGTTATATTCCAAGAACCAGATACACCCTGGAAGTTCAATGTTCAAGAACTGACAAGGTACAGCTTTTTCTCTTTGATATAGCAGCCAGCTTCTCATTTTACTGATGTGCTCTGAGAAAGGTCAGCCTTCTTCCTCTTCATAAAAAGTAACCTAGCAAATGATAGCAGAAGGACTGTCGTGGAAAACGTCTGTTACCCAGTACCTGCTCTGTAGGGAATTCAACCCTGAAAGAGCCTGACCCTGCTGAAGTGAGTCAGGCAGTAGAAAAAGCACCACCACCACCACCCCCCAAAGTGTGTATTTATACTGCAAGCTTCTTGGGGCAGGGACCCTGATTTTCATTCTGTTTTGAGCACAAGAACACATCTAAGCGCTACAGACAATATTTAGACTTCTGTTCTTAAAAAAAAAAAATCTAACCATGACAAATACTGTCTTGCTGTAGCACGGTGGGATGCTACAATAAGTGTGGTCAAGAAACAAAGTTCTAGATCATCTTTCTAAAGATCTTCACACGCACACACAAAAGGGATACAATGAATGTCTCAACGCTGCAGAATGTGGTAGGATACAGAGGCCAACAAATACGGCTCTAAGTGTGTTAGTTTGGCTAGTGGCTGCAGGGTTAATGGTTATATCCCTAAAAAAAAATTCATGCAGGCTATTTCCTAGCCTTTAACCAACCTGACGTAAAATATGTTACAGTAAATAGTGCACTCCCACCTACTAGATCCAGAAGTTAATGACATGTTAACTTCCTTGTTACTGCAAGAAAACAGGGCACGGGTACTTTATTCTGATTGATTTCTTTGTTTTGTACCAGCTAGGAACTCGGCGCTGTTCCTTTTGTGTGTGACAGACAAACGGGAGAGGGCTGTGGTCCAGGGTGAGGCGCGGGAGATGGCAGATGGCAGCCGACGGCTTGGGGCTGAAGGCAGGCGAGGACACGGGCAGCCTTAGCAGCCAGCTGCAAACCGCAGCTCTTGCTTCCCCAGCACCAGCTGGGAGCCACTTGCAGGGCATCACTGCAGGGGCTGATTTTGCTGGTGATCATCCCTTAGCTGAAACAAGCTGGCTTTTTACAGCAGCACTGTAAAGCTAATTCAAATACACTCAGTTTGGAGCAGCTCTTTGGCACATGGTGCACGGACAGCTGACGGTTGCTTCCGCGCTGGTTCCACCTTGGGACTTTACCGGCAATGTGCTGGTTGCCAGTCCCAGGCGTGGGCTGCACGCATGTTAGGGCACTGGCTGCTGGAGGACGTCGTGTCCCCTTCGCACGTGGGATGCTGCAGCTGACAGCCTGCTGCATTACTCTCACCTTAATTTCACCAGCGAAAAAACCATGTTGAGTGATGCAGGATTTGCACAAGACAAGACTTTGAAAATACAGATGCAGGACAAACTTACATTCTAGATCACAACTTGTGCCTTATAGAGCTAAACGGCTAAACCAAAGATACTCAGCGTTTGCAGACTCACACGCAGATTCTTTGGAGAAACAATTCCCACTAACATGGCAGGAGACTGCGGCAGTTCCTGGTCTATCCAGAAAGCCCTGCATGTTTGAGCATCCTGTTCCCCTCCCTCTCAAACTTGTCCTTTACTGATCTGCCCTGGAGCCTGAGCCACATCGGGTATGATTTTTTTCCCCGCTTGTGCTCAGGCAAAGCACCAACATGTTTTTGACCTCTATACTGGTTGATCAGAAGTCAGTGTCTGGGCTACCTGCAGCCCTTGTCTGCATTTCTCCAGATGTACAAAAGCCCACCCTAAAGCTAACAAGGTGTTAGCTCTAAAACTCGGCAATACTCGTATAAAATAATACACAGGTCTTCTACATAGCTCTTTCATTTCAAAGCATTTGTCTAACTTCCTAGAGCCACAAAAATACTTGCGTTATGTTTTTCAGCAGTCACACAATTTTTAAGAAGTAGGTGGAAGTGAACAATTTGGCAAAAAAGGACTAGAAGCAGATCAGCGGGGACGTGAACCATTATCCTGAACAGATCAGGAGCCTTAGCAAGCTTAAGATAACCTCCAGTACATGGGCAGCTAAATACTTGTGGTTTTTTGTTAATGTTGACTCTACAGAAGAAATACTCATCACGTCCCTCGGCAAAAGATACAACGGATGAAAGAACAATATGAGCACAACGTTACCTTCCACAGCGTTCTTCAGTCTGAAGAACCAAGCAGGGATGAGAGAAGCTCCAGCGGACCAAACACAGCGTACGGCATGGGTGCCCATTTCAGCCCCCCTCCAGCCTTCTCAAACCGAAGACCTCACGTGGCACGTACAAACAACATGCCATTTAACTGAAGAAGTGGATTCCTCAGTGTGTTTTAATTGTCAGGGTATAAAAGTCTCTGTTTTACTTTTTTTTTTTTCCAAAACTGTATTTTATTCTTGTATTTTTCTACGACGTTTCTAAATGACTTTTATTTCTTACAAATCTTTAAATGTTACTGGACTACGATCTCACAGCTCCACAGGACCAGTCTAAGAGCACTGTCTCCAGTACAAACTGTACTCTCTCTCATCCCTCTTCCTCCATGAAAATCCATCCAAGCTTACGGTGAAACTTACTGGCAGTGCCACGTGCTTTTTTGTGGGGGTGGTTTTTTTTTTTTTTTCCTGCATCACGCTCTGTCACTAATAGATAACAATAAATATTCCTAAATTCTTTCTTTCTTACAGGCCTTGTGGCCAATTCCTTCTCCACGCAGTTGTCATTTCTTCCCGGTTTAATACTTTATATACCTGGCTATATAACCTTTTGTATCTTCCTGCTCCATCTTGCCTATACTGCAACTTTAAGAGCGGCAAAGGGAATGGTGGAAAAGGTAGCTCTAACAGATCGGAGCCAGATTTGATGCTGTTCCCCATCTGCACCCCTGCTGTCTGCTGGTCTTACCTCAGTTCTGTCGCAGCCAAACAGCTTCTCCAGCCGGGAGGTGAAACACTTTAACACACCAAACTGAGCCCTTTATCTCGCCAAGACATAGGAGTTCAACTGATCCTGACTTCAGTCCGTACACAGAGGCTCCTAAAAGGAAACATTCGTGTTAGGCTAGTGCTTGTTAACTTCCACATAGGAACAGGGCTGCAGGAGCAGCTCGGAATAGCTGAAGCACAAGGCTACCAAATACCCCACCTAACTCAGAGGTACAAAATAATGACTTAAGGAGAACAAAAATGGTCTTGTAAGGGGTGAAATCAACTCCTTGCGCCACTAAGTGCCGAGAAGCCACTGAGTGATGGATGAGTGAGAAAAGAAGCTATCCCTGCAGTAGTTTTATCCATATTGTTAAATTCTGCTGATTATGTTCTCATCAAGAAGCCTCATGAAACAATTTTATAACTCAGCATTTGTGATGGCGATTTTTTTTAAGTAGGTGTGGAGTATTAGGCAGCGCTTGTAGAACAAGACAGTAGTAAGTTATTTTGGAGTAGGCAATGAAGACAGCTGACATTAGACATTAAGAAATATGGGTATAGCTGCTATTCATCTAGCAATTTAGCAGAGAAGCATAAGAGGTATAAAGAACTATGCTGTTTCTGGGCAAAAGCCAAGCTGTCTTCTGGACACCGTAGATGTATGGGATGAATTGCATTTTCTACTCCAGCTGCGTTTAAAGAAGTAGTATCATCATTGTAAATAATGGTGAACTAGGGGGCCTAGGAAACCTGGTTCTGCAGTATTCCACAAAGGTTTACAGAACTATCAGCAAGCTTGTGTCAGCCCGTTACAGTTCTCCAGTCCTCCTACGATGTCAGCACCGGCGCCAAGGGAATGGCACAGGACCCCTGAAAGGTTGCCAAGTGGGAGCTGGTGGTCCTGGTTCCGAAACATCCTCCCTCCTTTTGACTCATGCGTGGAGGGAAGCAGCAGGGCAAGGGGCAGCCTGAAAACAAACTAACTAAAACCTGGAGTTGGCAGCCGGTCTAGCAGTAGAGAAACTCCAGTTCTGAGAAGCTTCACCTGTTGAAATGAGAGCAAAGTAATGAATTCAAGTACAAACTCACTTGATCTCATGATGAAATCAAAGAAAGATCTGATGATCTTTCATGATGCTGTGGCCTCAAGTGCTTCTTTAAGAAGGAGTAGCTTCAAAACACTGACCAAGGATCCATCATTAATACCTTTGTATGATATTTTGCTATGAATCAAATAATCATAGGTGTTCTCTAAACCTCTTTTAGGCCTGTATGGAAAGTCTGAGGGGAAAAGTACATGAACTGTGCCAGAATTACAAAGCAATATTTCAAAATTAAAGTGTTATGGTTGGTAGCAATAAACTTAAGAGAATTGTTTATTCTGTGCCACTTCTGACAGCCAAACAACTATCCTAATACTGCAGAGGGTAACAGAACTCATTGCTTTAGACTGAAACAAAGATCTTGCTGTAATTTAAGAATACATCAGAATCAAAGCAATGGCTTATAAAATGTCATCAAACCTTCAGCCACACTGATGCTATTGTACGATACATGTTTGTGTGAGAAATGTCTAATTACTCAACTCCAAATTATTTTGCAGATGAAATGTCATTTCATGAGTCTGTCTTTTTGCAATACAGCTTTATTAAACACAATCAGGATTTAACGTACAAAGTGTAAAAATAATTTGAATTTGAAATATATACAATACTGTACATGTGCATTTAGTAGCATTTTTGGGGTTTCTGTCTTTGTAGCATTCTGCGGGCTGGTAACGAGTCCTCAGGTTCCTTTGTGTCCTTCTGAAGAGCCTCAGCTACTTCAGAACTACGTTTTGATGAGTTGTTTGCTTCCCCAGTAGACCTGGAATTATTTTTGCGTGACAGATCATCAGATGAATTAGTAGCTATTGTATTGCTGGTTTTATTTACATTATCAATCTTCTTTTCTTCTGGTAAATTATTCATGAGTGCTTGTGTATTAATCATTGCAAGTTCTTCATCAGCAACCAGGTCATTCTCAGGAAGACGGACAGTTTCCCTCAGTTTTCTACAGGGGGTGACGTGACCAATATTCTGATTTGTTTCTTTTGATGACTTGCTACGCTGTAAACCCAAACTTCGTGGAGGCTGAAATGCTTTTTTTAAAGATGGAGAAATTATTGAACACATTGGTGTCAGTGGTGGAGGGGCAGCTATGCAACTGAGGAAGTCCATTGCTTTCCTCTTTTTGCTGTTTCTGGGATGGTCTTCATGAATTGTAGCAGGCGAAGGTGTTTTTGCCGACCCTTGTGTCACAAGTTTCATATTCGGTGTGCTAGTTGACAAGGGGCTTGGATGCTTTACTTCAATTTTAGAAGAGATCTAGTTAAAAAGAGAGAAGTTTTATCTTGAATAGAATGTCCTTTTTCATTAGCTTCCTCAATTACTTCCACAAAACGGGGAAAAAAAAATTATACAAATGTCGTCATTCATGTCCAACTTCTCTTTAGTTTGATATTTTCTGATGGTGACTAATATTATTCTTTCAAGTATACATGCTTGATAAAATCACTGTTTACATGTATATTAAGACAGCACATTTACATTCTGTTTCTGAGATCTAAGCTAAATGTATGGGAATTTTTCTATGCCAGATGGTAAGGAATCAAAACATTCGAAAAGGAGTTAAGTCTTCTACTGCACTGGATATATCCTCAACAGGTTGTTGAATAGGGAAAAATGAGGAAAAAAATTTGAAGAAAAAAGGGGTAGAACATAGACCAAAAAAACTTGAATACGCACAAGATAGACACTGCACAGCCAATCATTCAAACACATGCTTGAAAATACCTTTAATGTCTCCTTTGTTTTAACTTGGTTAATATATTTAATAAACAGATATAAACTAAACCTTCAGAATTAAATATTGGCACTCTCTCTGAAACGGAAAAGGATGCCTTATAAGCTTAAATTTAGCCCCCAGTAATTGAGAGCACATCAAGGTGTTTCCACCTCCCTCGCAACTAGGGACAGGAAAAATTTTTGTTCTGACTGCGCTCAGTACTCCGTGTCAGGAACAATTTGCCACTGGCAGCCTTCATGGGAAACTTGAGTACTACTTAACTCAATTTTTGTCAAGACTGCTGTAAAATGTAGACATTTACTAGGTGATACCTCTTCCCTTTTAAGTCCTGGAAATAGTGAACACTATCTAGGAAAAGAAGATCAGAAGGTAAATTCTCTAAACAAAGGTAGGAACTGCAGAATGCCATGAAAGAAAAATTTTACAGATCAAGATTTTTCCTTCCAGTGACATCCATGTCAGATAATCTTCACAGTGGGGTGAAGGAAGTGATAAATTATCTGTAGGGAAAGGATGATTCATTTTACTCATATAAAATTCAGAATATTTAAAATATGCTGTGCAAACACAGGCCACAAGGGGAGGTTTTCATGTACTGCCTGGAGGAGGAATAGTCTCACAGTTCCTCCTGGGGAATAATCCTAAACCCGCACACAAAGCAAGCTTCTAATCAGCTTGCATTTCCCTAAAGAGAATGTATGGAGTGAACAGAGAAGCCAGACCATTCACCACAGCTATCAGTATAAAACTTGCTTATATCCTTACTGTATGGTACTGTCACTATAAACATACTATTAATTACCAGAAGCTTACCAAACTTTTATCCTCTGCATAAAGACCTGAGTTGCAGGAAGGAGAGGGGCATTCCAAGTCACGTCTTTTAGTTAAACTGGGTGTAAGCGAGAGATTTCTTCGTAGCAAATTCATCAATTTACTTTCTGCATCAGAGCAAAAGGCGGCCACATTCTAGAAAGCAGAACAGTTCACAGTGCAGAATAGTTGTTTTTCAAATTGTGTAAGTACTATATGCTCACAAAGAAAGTATTTAGGACTTGGTTTTCTCATCAGAATCCCACTAAAAGTTTATTATATCAAACCAACAACTTGGAAGACTGCTGCATTTGGAGGGAAATATCATACCTTCCTCTTAGTGTTAACAAGAAAAAAAAAATCCTTTTGTACTTAAACTTATTTTTCAGTAAAAAGTGAGAATGCGCAACCAAGACACGCTATTTAGCACAGGTAAAAAAACTGAAATAATAACTAAATAAATAAATAAATGAAATCAACAATCCAATACTGAGTATGTTCAGCTGAGCAAGACAGTAAGTTTTAACTTTTAAAAGGCTAGAGCCAAACTGGCCATGACAGATTCCCTATTGACAGGTACAATATTTTTTGCTAGGCAGAGAAGATTCTGTGGTGCATCCTAAAGACAGTGTTGCCTGAGCCAAATTTAAAAAAAATCAAAATCAAAAGACATTCAATAGGTGGTACGTAGAGTCCTCCAGGAAAAGTGCATTAACACCTTACTCCATCTCCCAGAAAACCCCCTCACATTCAACATTACGTGCATTACTTGTTTTAAATCTTTATTAGTACTAATGGACTTTTCAGTGAAGGATATAACACAGCAGTAACTAAAATAATCATTAAACTAAAAATCTACAGATTTACCTCTATCGTACTTCTCAGTTCATTAACCTTCTCTTGAAGATATTTTTCCTTTGGACTGGCTGAGAATACAGAAAGATCTCCAGCCAACAGCACTGGAATTTCTGATCTGAATTCAGATTGCCACTGAAGGTTGCTTGCAGAAATGAACGAACAGCAAACAACTATATCTTCAATAGCAAAGTGTCTGAGATCTGCCCGGATCTTTACTGCCACTAAATTACAGCTTTCATCAGATAAGTACACCATAGTAGTGAAACCTAAAAGCAAGAGAAAAGTCTGAATTAAACCTTTAAATCTTTAAGTAAAGGTTGATTACTGCAATTTGTATCTATAAAAAAGTCACACAAAGAGCACAGATAAATGTAACATGGCAGGCTGTCTGCATGGTAACCGATGTTTCACGCTTCATTCACATTGTAGGCTACCTCCCTACTGATTACAGACAACTCAAAGTCTGTGTTCCAGTGCTTAAAAAAACAATACTCCTGTGGTGCTTCTCCTCTTTAGTCAGAAGATTATCCACTTCTCCCTACCCATGAGCTTCAGTGCCTGTGTTCTGCTCGTTCCATGGCACTGTACAGAAAAAAGGGAGCTCATGCACATGCACGATGGTACTTCTGTCGACGCTGAACACAGATGTGAGAACTTACACCCACCATGGATGGAAAAAAATAAAAGTTTCTCTTCAGCTTAGATCCTGCCTTACTAAATTCTTCCTGAGCTAATAATCAAAGATAGTTTTTCTTTAGGAAAACCAAATTATCTGCCAGTGTATCACGGTGATGCGCTATATCAGCAGGTTTTCACAGGCCTGAGATGCAGGTACAACACCAAGATCATTTTGACTTTCGAAATAAAAAATTTAGTGCTTATTCAATGGGAGGACATGAATGTGGTCCGCAACGTACCTGTCCTGCTAACAGAAACTACAAGTCCGACTAAATCAACTTCAGCACTTGGTGGCTGAAACGAAGGATCCGACAAACTGGTGAATTTTAGAGCCTTTCTTGGAAAGAAAATCTGTACCAGCATCTCCTGTGATACCTGAAGAAACACAAAATTTTGAAGTATTTACAACACACTGAGATAGACTGTGATACATTTTAATGACACACCTTTACGCACTTAAAGCACTTACTGATAGTTGTAGATACTGAGTTTTCTTTGTTGCTGTTAATTGTACGTTAGTTGAGTCTGATCTTCCTTTGTACTGTGATGCTGACAGCTGGTAGATTCTGTACCGATTGCCTTCCTTTAACAATGAACAAACATCTGGCAGTGGACGCCAGATACTCAGTATCACTCCTAGCAACATCAGATTAAGATATATTAGCTATGCAATACTAATTTGAAGGCTTTTAAACAAAATAAATCCACAACACTCCCTCCCAGCCACAAGCCCTAAACCAAAACCCAAATAAAACTGGAAATACTAACATGCAAGCTAGAATACTGTTGGGAAACTACAAATCTACCTGCTATGTTGGCCAGTTACCATGTTTAGATAACAGTTACTTACAGTTTTCCATGTACTGACCATTACGTTTTTCTTGCTTTCTGTAGTCTACCACACGTAGTCTCCATACAGTAGACACGTCTCTTTTAGAACAACCATTTTCTTCCCGTTCTGCTGACTCTAAAGCCTTCTTGAATTCTTCCTGTATCTGAGTTTGCTTTTTATCATTCATTAACTGCCTGTGAGCATTCAGAGCTTTTAATTGGTCTTCACTGAGATATCCCTGTAACCAAGAGAAAATGTATTCAGTATCTTTTTTATTAATTAATAAAAAAACTCAAGATTTTTAGATAGCCTCTTTTTTAAGTGTTGGTCTGTTTCAAGCAATTTATTGTTCAACTGATACACTACTAGGACTTGAGATGGGGTATGTTAACACAACAGGAGTTGCCAGTCTTGACTGGTACTCAGCTGGTGCTCCATTGTCCAAGTATTACATTAAACACTGCTCTTATGCGATAATTAGTGAGAAGCCTGCTTAGGAGTGCATAACTAAGGTGAATATTTAATATAACAGGCATGCTTGTCTGTTTCACAAGAAAGAAGAAATATCAGGGAAAAAAACAACCTGTAAGACAAAAAGAAGAGTTGCAGGCTCTTGCAGGCTCTCAGCAGGCTGTTCTGAGCTGAAACAGTGATTTATACTAAAATTTACAGTAACATTTCTGACCAAGGCTTCAATATCCAGATGCCTCTACATGTAGCACCACAGATATGCGTAACATTTTATCAAATAAAGTCACAGATCATATGGCTTTATGACCAAGGACCAAGTCAAGGACCCTGACTTGCAAAAGGTGAGGCATGTATTTAATTTTTAACAACTGGCAGGGACTAATCACCTGCATCTTTATCAATAAAGGCATAAACACTTAGAAGCTGTGATTCAACTGGAACAGGGAATGAAGAGGACGATGACAATATAATCATTCAAACACTTCCGTGAAGAGCAGGCAAACAATATGTGTGTGGAACTCAAGACTACGAGATGCATTTAGTATTCATATATGCAAGACAAAGAAAAGTAATAAAATTACAAGTAACACGAACTTTTAATTATGTTATATCCTGGATTTTTATATCAAGATAAAATAGCATTCTGCTTTGCAATCTGAGATATTATTAATAATCTCTTTCAACAAGCTGTCCTTAAAATATTTTCAAAATTTTTCATCTTATTTAGCAATAAGCATACTGTAGAAAATCTCAAAAGGCAGCAAAAATAAATAGTAATTTAATGGTTGATTTTAGCAGGAGGTACTAAATTGTAAACTATTCCACCAGTATTTCAAAATTTGCCCAGTAGGATCTACAGTTACCTCCATATAACCAGGATCAGACGCATTCTGAATTGCTTCGTAAAGTTCTGCACCATCTTGCAAATTATGGATTTGTTGTCTTGTGACTATGTGTGATCTTGGTGTTCTTCTGCTGGTTCTCTCTGTTAAAAAAAAGCCGTTATGTTGAGTACAATCAATGCATTTTAAAAGTGAAAGAATAAATAATAATGTAAGCAGCATGGTAGTGCTTAGGCCTTGCCAGAATAAACATATAAAGCATTTCTACGTAGGAACTGATATATGTGTGTGTATATATCTAGATATTAGGAAAATACAAGCAGGGAAAAAAAAAAAAAATCTCTTTCATTTAAATCCAACATAGATTAGAATATTATACAAACTTCAGGGAAGCCAGTATCACTCTCTGCACTTAGGAGAGGCTGGGAGACTTGACAGGCTGCCATGAAACTTTATCGATACTTGACCTATTTTCTGTGTCTGTCACTTTGTCTTCCTCTCATACAGCAGACAAGTCTCAAAGATACCAAGATCTGGGACAAACGGTGACCACAGGCCTGCACATGAAGCCTCCTTAGGACACCAACTAAAAGCCAAGATAACTTCCTTACATTAAACTATTGCCCTTTTCTTAGGTAAGTAATTTTGCTGCTAGCATCTTGATTCGTTCCTTCAGCATAGCGGACTCCAGTTTACCAGTCAAACATAAAACACAATGAGGTGACTGATATGGGGAAGTTTGTATCAGTGAAGTTAAGAATTATAAAGCAAACTGATTTCAACTAAGAATTCTGTGGTGGATCTTCTTTTTTTTAAGGTATGGCTTTATTTGCATTTTCCTTGTTTGTCATGAGGGACTGTAGGTTCTGAGAAAGCAGTTAGAGAACACCTCAGTGTTACAGATCACCACGAGAAAGATTTATGGAAAGGGAGAGGCTATCTGGATGGTAGATATAACCCTGTGAAACTTGAACTGCACAGGCTGCCGTTAGTGCTGGAATCCTATCTGTTCCTGGAGAAAAAAAAAAACAACGAACCAACAAAACAAAACACAAAGCTAAAACCAACAAACACTGCTCCCAAAAACCAGACCAAGGTATCAAGGCAGCTGGAATCCATGATCAGTGTGGCAAGAATCCTAATACCCTTCTTCATTCCAGTTTAGCTGAGTCAAACCTAGGGGGAAGCGAACACACTTCTGGTGCAGCAGTCATGAAGCTGTAGCGATCAGCAGGCAGTTGCGGCACTCAAAGCAACAGCAGACCTGAAACTACGGCTAGAAATCACTGGCAGAGGCGTACAGTGTCATCCCATTGTAGAATGAGAAAATGGCTGCAGTTGGAAGGGACCTCTGGAGGTCATCTTGGCCAACCCTCCTGCTCAACAGCAGGCTGCCCAAGACCATGTCCAGTGAGCTTTTGAGTATCTCCAAGGATGGAGATTTCACAGCCTCTCTAGGCAACACTGTCGGTCACCCTCACAGTGAAGAAGGGTTTCCTGATGTGCAGAGTTTCAGTTTGTGCCCATTGCCTTCAGTCCTGTCACTGGGCACCACTGAGAAGAGCCCGGCTCCATCTTCTTTGCACCCTCCTTTGAAGTATTTATGTACATTGATTAGATGCCCCTGAGCCTTCTCTTCTCCAGGCTGAACAGTCCCAGCCCTCTCAGCTTTTCCTCCTATGTCAGATGCTCCAATCCCTTAAGCATCTTTATGGCCCTTTGTTGGACTCTCTCCAGTATGTCCATGTCTCTTTTGTACTGGGAAGCCCAGAACTGGACACAGCGCTCCAGATGTGGCCTTACCAATGCTAAACAGAGGGGAAGGATCACCTCCTTAGACCTTCTGGCAACACTTCTCAACTTGTCCACCAGGACCCTCAGGACCTTTTCTGCAAAGCTGCTTGCCAGCTGGGCGGTCCCATGTACTGGTGCATGGGGCTGTTCCTCCCCAGGTGCAAGACTTGCACTTCCCTTTGTTGAACTTCACGAGGTTCTTGTCAGCCCATTTCTCCAGCCCGTTGAGGAGATGGATGGATGGCAGCAAAATCCTCTGGTGTATCAGTCACTCGTCCTAATTTTGTATCATCAGCAAACCTGCTGAGAATACACTCCGCCCCATTGTCCACATCATTAATGAAGATGTTAAAACAGGATTGGACCCAGTGTTGATCCCTAGAGTAGACTGCTAGTTACTGGTCTGGAAATAGACTTTGTGCCACTGATCACCACCCTCTGGGCCCAACTGTTCAGCCAGTTTTCAGTCCACCTGACTGACTGCTCATCTGGCCCATGCTTCATCAGCTTCTCTATGAGGATCTTAAAGGAGACATGTCAAAAGCCTTACTGATGTCAAGGTAGACAACATGCGCTGCTCTCACCTCACCTACCCAAGCCAGTAATTCCATCACAGAAGGTTGTCAGGTTAGTCAAACATGACTTCCCCTTGGTGAACCCCTGCTGACTACTCCCAATCACCTTCTTGTCTTTCATGTGCCTGGAAATGGTTCCCAGGAATACTTGTTCCATCACCTTCTCAGGGATCAAGGGAAGGCTGACTGGCCTGTAATTAGTTTTCCGGGTCCTCCTTCCTGTCCTTTTAAAGGCAGGAGACACATTTGCTTTCCTCCAGTCTTCAGGCACCTCTACCAATCACCATGATCATTCAATGAGGATCAAGAGCAGTCTCACAAAGACATCAGCTGGCTCCTTCGGCACTTGTGGGTTCATCCCATCACTGACCACAGACTTAGATATGTCCAGTTTGCATAAGTATTCTCTAACTTGACCCTTTTCCACCAAAGGTATGTGTTCCTTGCTCTACCAGGGCCTGGGATTGCTGAAGGCTGGTATTGCTAGTTAAGGCTGAGGTGAAAAAGGCATTGAGTAACTACTCAGCCTTCTGCACGTCCTGTGACCAGGGTCCCTGTCCCATTTAGCGGCTCCACTGACCTCAGTATCTCCACAATCCTGCAAGGTTTGTGATGAGAGATTCTCAGTGCTCAGTTTTGGTATTCAGGTCTACTGAGATACACATCCCAAGCAGCACCCACCTCCGGGTGAAATATTACCCTGTCAGATCTTCGAAGAGAATGGAATTAACAATTCTACAATTTTGTAGCACTTCCCTGAGCATCATCTCAATGGTAATTTTTTAGTAGCCTGGCTACCAACATGTTCAGGAACAGTTTCCTAGATAGCTGCAAAGCCAAGCAAGTAAGTGTATAACTGTTTTGTACTGAAAGGTCTTGATACATAGGAAGTAAAAAACCTAAAACAATACAACACAAAACCACAACAACAAAGGAAACAACCAAACACACTATCTCTGCTTCTCTATCACCAGAGAAGTTTTTGCCAGTTTTAGTAAACACCAAGAATTTTTTTGTGTTCTTAATACATGTTCTGAAACAATGAAAGCTTTACCTTCATGGTTTTCATATTCTGCTTGGATTTTTGCAAATAGAGCTTCCAGTTTCTTTTGTTGATCCTCTGCATGCTTGGCAGCTTCCCTTTCTTCAGCTCGGCTGTTGCGAAACACGCATGAACCAGCTATCTTTTCCATCCACTGAAATAAAAAGATTCAAACAAAAACCAGCTTATTTATTTTTTAATCTTTAACCTCATCTAGCTTCCTCCTAATACTCACTGTTAAGCAAAAACACTTTAAAAAAATGAACAGGCAGTAGATCGCAAGTTCTTTCAGTATAATAGATAAAACACAAAACCCCACAGCATTGGTTGGAAAATCTTTACTTTAAAGATACACAGACAGCATGATTTAACAGCTGAAAAAACCATAGCTTACAGTAATAGGTATCAATGATGTGATCTAGAAGACAGCTGGATCCCACTGGTAGATATATTACGATACAAACCATCAAACTCAATGCTTGAAAAATATACCAGAACTGCATTCTACCTCATTTGTCTTTCCACATCAACTGTACTGACTGTTTTAACATGCTGGATTAGATGCTGTAAAAGAACTTTGATGTCGTTCTGCAGATACTCTTAAAACTTTTTCTGCCTGAAATGGCTCCATAGGACTACAGTCTTGGCCGCAACCCTGCCACAACTGGCTTGCCTGATTTGAAGAGATAGGTGAGCCAAAGAAAGAGGTCACTGCTGCTGAAAGCAGTCCCTTCCCTTCCTCTTTGCTGCACAGTCCCGTCTTCTCCCTTGCACTGGCTCTAGCAGAGATCTGACCTCATTAGACCACATCAGTTTGTTAATTCAATGGATAGCAGTTTGTTGTGGGTTGTTCTTTTTTTTTATTATTAGTTACCTACTTACTCCTGCTTTAGTGCATTAAATTAGCTAAGCAGACAGGATCAGGTGAGCTCCAGGTTTAGCACAGAGAAGCAGCAAAAGAGTACAGTGAGAGCAGGATGAGGAAGGGTTGAAGGACTAATCCTTACGAGACAGTGAATTGTTGAAATAGGCTCTGCCTGCCTCATTAACTGCATGTCATGTACTTCCTGCAGTATTCACAGTTTGACACCTTTAATTAGGGTTAGTGTGATTCCTACACTCCTTCACTCTTGACGTAAAAGGAGACAGACAGCCCAAGTCTTTCTGTCATTTTGGTATGTTTGAGCAAGAGTTTCAGTGTTTGTTTTAAAACAAACAAACAAAACCCCAAAAACCCACACTACATCATCACATCAATCTCTTGATAACAGTGAGATACAAAGCGCCACTTCCCTCCCCAGCCTGGAAGCCATTTATTGTGATGCGGTTACAGATTACAGTCCCCTTTCTGGGACCTAAGTACATGTTAGTTCTATCACGCAGTTCACATAGTAAGGGCTGCAATTTCCTCCATTAAAGTAATGATCTAAATATCAAAGTGACGATCCAAACCAAATATTGCTATTACCTTTGCAGAATTCATTCTATATTGACCAACAGTTATACAATACTTCAGAAAGAAAGCAATGAAAAAAAACCCTGTATGTACATATGCCAAGTGTAACATACTCTGAGAAAAGTTAACAAAGTCTGAAAATTGCATCCTAGTTAAACTGTTAACATTAAGAGGCTTCATTATGAACAAAAATATTGTTTCTTTTTGTAGTTGGTACTGTTATAAAAGCAAGTAATTACAGTGAAGTCTGACAATATTTAAAATGTCTGGATAATCAAGTGGTATTTAAAAGATCTTCATTCTATTTTACACCATAATCACATTGTATTTTCAGTAATATTTTTAAATAATAGCTCTTACACAGCTACATGTAAGAAAAAGTAATCTTACTGGTGGTTATAAATATTTAACTTCTTTTCAGGGATATGTATGTTAATAATAGAAAAAAAAAATGGGTTCACTTCTATTTGGAGTCAAAACTATCAATGTTTTTTTTTCCTCCTTTAAAACAAGGACTGTGCTTTTTAGATTACAGAACTGAAATTCAATTATTTCTGGCTTTTTGAAGCTGAAAGTAAAGCCAACCAGAAGATACTGAGCACAAACTCAAATTATTCTTACAGCAGGATACTCCAGTCCTGAAATATGAAATACATGCACACTGCAAGAAGCATTCCTGTTCATTTTACACAAAATTGTACCTTTTCTTAAATTTTTCAGCTCTCTATATTATATCTGATTTGAGGAATGATACAGCAGTTAACTAATATAATTTAGATCTCATAAAACTTGTTAGAGTCATAAAATACTTATACCATACCTGAATAGGATAAGTTCTTTGAATCACTACATCAATACACCCCACTGCACCACCCTCACTGTAAAGTGATGACAAAGGCAAAGGAAAAGGTCTGGGATCCCGATGAAATCCTAGTTTTGCATGCCATCGTGCACATCGAGTGCTGTTCGCTGAGATCTGAGTAAGTTGAATGATAAACTGTCACTGGTAGGTCAAAAAAATAGCCAACTTATTATACCTAGAGGAAAGATTATTTTCACACTGACCTCACCAAGAATCTCTCATTTTTGCACCTGAACATATTACATTTTAATTTCAAGGTTTCTTTTTGCCTTGAAGAATGTATTTTAAACAGGAACTAGAAATTTGATGAGTTAAAATTCTCTAGGAAATGAGCATCTATGAGACAAGCCATTGCTTTACACCAGAGGAGCAAAACTCTTACGCTGAAACTTCACCCAGCACTTTAATCATCCTCAAACAAGTGAGGACCCTCCCCTCCAAGCCCACCCTCCCAGGACCTGTTTTTTCCCCCATTCTTCCTCCAACTTCCGTATTGTCTGTGATGGATAAATACTTTTTGTAACTTGGAGCTTAATGAAATTAAGGAGCTGGAACTGTCAAAACACACTGTAAAACTTAGCAGAATTTTATATTATAAACTTCTCTTCCAACCCTATTGAATACTTTGAGGGTGGCCGAGCCCTGGCACAGGCTGCCCAGAGAGGCTGTGGAGTCTCCTTCCCTGGAGATATTCAAAACCCATCTGGACGTGATCCTGTGCAACTGCTGTAGGTGACCCTGCTTTGGCAGGGGGTTGGAACGGGCGGACACCCAGGCCCTGCCAACCCCCGCTAGTCTGTGATTCTGTAAATAGCATCAGCTACCTTGTGTCATGTCTCACAAATCTGGTTATTAAACTTCAACAAAACTTTGTTTGTTTATAAAGCCCTAACAAAGCTTTTTCAGTTTACAAAATGTGGCTCAACCAAATAGCATCTATCACATCTCTCGATCACACCCGATCAAGCTGAACTAATATTTTGTTTTACCTTTAACATAAGGGAATCTGGGGCTTCCAGTGGCGTACATCCATTCTGAGAGCCAACAAGTTCTGCTCCATGCACTATGATCTTCTGACCAACAGTCAGCCTTCTTCTATGTAGGAAAGCTTTGAGAGGTGGATCCAGAAGAGCTCTAATCCCATACCAGCCATCAGTAACTTCAATTATTGCTGCTGCTTTTTTACTTTCCACAATCTTATTGCTACTGCTAGGAGATACAACGGTGTTTAGCGATATGATTTTAGAAATACACAGCACAAGTGTTTTACCTGCTGCATCATCTCTTTCCATTATTTTTTTGATTGCTGATCGTTTACTTTTATCAACTTCCAAATCATACCTACAAAAAAGAATTCATCATGCTTTGTTAAAGCAAACAAAATCCATCACATTGTTTTTCCTTAAAAACAACTGTGGCAAACTACTGCTGAATCAATCTACATGATTAAATACCACCGTAGCAAATCAAATGTTATCTGAATTTTTGCAAATAACATGCACTACATTTTTAATACTGACATGCGCAAGTTTAACAATATAAGCATTCTGATAAACAGTAAATGCAAGGTATAGGTGCTTATTTTGTAGTATTACGAGCTAGAAAGCATACAGTATCACAAATTACAACTCCAAATACATTGCTATACACGTACCTATATTTCAATTGCAACAGCACTGTTTCTGGTGTCAAACATCTGTTAGCAAATTCATGTGGAAAAGATACTTCCATGGCTGCCAATTTCCATACAATCCACCTATAGTGATTGTAAACCCAGGCCTCCGTTATTAGCTTGGGATCCACACCAGGAGTGTCACAGAGGGCTCTGCAGAGAAATTGTTAATAAATTAACCTGAAACCCACTCTAAGTTTTTACTTGCCTGTTTTTCCCTAGCATTGTATTCAGTGTATGTCCATAGGAAACATTAACAAAGGCATATCTATTACAGTGAAAACAGGAACGTTACATTCCATAACCTGATCTGGTTATTGTCTGAATACTGAAGTTTTGTCCTCATATATGCTTTGGCAGGACGCATGTGCATACATGCATGCATTCTTGAAATGGAGACTTTGGACCTAGCAGTAGCTCCAGGGGCCTGCTCTTGTCTGCTTCATGCAGCATAGAGGGACAGAGGTGTGCTCTATTCCCTTTCAGCCCTGGAATTTCCACTGCTTGCTTGATGAGTTCATTACAATCCACCTCCCTCTACTTCACAGTTTCTACAGTTGTGGTTTGGGTGGGGTTTTTGGGGGGTTTTTTGGTTTGTTTTGTTTTTTTGTTTTTTGTTTGGTTGGGTTTTTTTTAAGCATGCACATGGACAACACATTTCAAAGAACTTTCAGTTGCTACTGAAGAACTTTCTTCTTTCCATTGAGTGTCCGCTGAAATGGACTTTCATTCTGTGTTGAGTCCAAGCTGCACCACTGTGACCTGCACGAGTTGGGTTGGAACATCTATTTTTTCCAGCTCTCACAGTCACTAGGAAGGCCGTTTCATTAAACAAGGAAGAGAAAGAATTAGACCAGAGATTCAAATAGCTGAGTCACGAGCCTGATTAGAACACAAGTCAAGTCTTGTCAAAAAGTCAATTTCCGACTTGCGAGAAAGCCTCAAGAAGATTTTAAGGAACTGTATTGCAGTTGGGCGAGGAAAAGAAACAATTTAAAGGCCAGAAAGTCATATACAGGAAGATAAGGAGCAGGCATGGCCATGAAATTAATTATCATTACTGCTTTGCTCTCTTCTAACGTAATCTCAAACTTTAGGAGATGCTCTGTAATCTTTTGTGAAGAACAATGCAATTCAGGAGTTAAAGACAGAATTCAGTTCAAGATTAAGATCCTAAATACAGATGACTAAATGAAGGTTATGTATGTTCTAGTTAATGGAGATCCAGTTAATACACTTACAGTGATAGAAAGAGTGATTCAAGGTGACCAATCAGTAGTTATTTATTCTCAATCACATGCTTTAAGATAAAGCAAATCCAGAAAAGATTCAGGAACTGAAGGCAACCTCCTGAGGAACAACCTCTACAAATTGCTTGAGAGACTATCTAGTATTCAGGGTCAGATTGACACTGCCACCCAGCGCAGGTTCTCACACCAAAACCACCATGGCTATTCTGGGACATTTCGCAGTATGTTGGTGGTTTCTTTCTTCTGTTTCTGGAAAATGAGTGTGGGGAAAGCCATGTATCTGTTGGCCTGACCATATAATCAGGAGCACATCTGAAAATGATTACGACAAGCTGCCTCTGGAACAAGAAACTGGACTGCCTAGAAAGGTCAGTATTTGGTACATCTAGGCATAAGAAGTTTTGTGCAAATACTTTAATACCTTTTCCATTCACAGGAAAATTCACAGTAAAATTAATCAAGATTACCTCCAACATGCCTAAGCAGTAGATTGCAAATACACTGATCCAGAGCTGGGTGCATTGTTCCCAGAGATCTACTGCTTCTTGACAAAAACAACCCCAAACCTCGTGTTTCCTGTTAGTTTGTGTAGCAGCGTTGCTTGTCAGCTGAGAAACAGCAATTTCACATGAGAAAAGAATGACCAGCATGCTTTCTAAAATGCATGCAACTCCAGAACACTGACATGTAGGCAAGAGGCCCGGCATCGTAACTGGACATGGATGAACATCCCAGACAGTCTTTTATGCATCTACCATAAATGCGTTGTAGGAACATTCCATCTAGCAAGGTATATCCCCAAAACACTCAACAATCGTGTCACCACTGGAGGGAAATGCAGAATCAGGGATGGTATCACTAGTAGCAAAATATTTGCCAAATGGGGTGGAAGCAGACAAGTAACAAGTTCGGTCAAGTTCTGCACACCCTGCCTCTGAGTGCCTATATAAATGCATATGCCTACACGTCCCGTAGCTGTCCACGAAACAGCTGGGGCATGCGATGCCACAGGGTGCAAAAGGAACTGTGGGAGGATTAGCTCTGCCTTACAGTACTTAAAAAAAAAACACAATCAATTTTAAGGACTGCTCTGAAACAAACTTGGTTTACTATCAAACAGAGAGACTCGAGAACCTGCAGAGCAGCATGCAAAAATTCTTAGAAGCCATTGCTAAACAAGTAAAAGAGAAGAGGGTGACTGGGAATGGCCAACACGGATTTACTAAGAGCAGATAATGCCTAACCAACCCAACTGATTTCTGTGGTGAAGTAACTGGTGCTGTGGGTAAGGAGAGAGCAGTTAAGCAAGGACTTAGACAATTTCTTACAGTCTCTTTCTCATGGAATTGGTAAGATATGGGCTGGATAAATAGATCCAGTGGGTGGAAAATTGGCTGGATTGCTAAGCATAAAGAATTGTGATCAACAGTACAAAGTCCAGCAGGTGGCCTGTAACTAGTGGCACCACTGAGACATCAATACAGGGACCAACATTTAATGACTTCATTAACAACCCAGATGATGGCATGGAACAACACTTGCAGCAAGTTTACAGATGACATCAAATTTGGGGAAGTGGTTGATAAACTGCGGGGCAGGGTTGCTACTGAGAGGGAGCTGGATAGGCTGGAGAAACAAGCTGACAGGAATCTCACGAAATTCAACAAAAACAAAGTCTTGCACTTGCGATGGAACAACCCCATGCAATAGTAACAGGCTGGGGCTGACTGTCTGGCAAACAGCTTTGCAGAAAAGGTCCTGGTGGAGAAGATGACAAGAGGAAGCAATGAAGCTAAAGCAATGAAGCACAAAACCATCCTAGGCTGTATTATGAGGAAAGCCAGGAAGGCAGTGATCTTTCCCCTCTCTTCAGGACTTGGGAGACTGCATCTGACGTTTCTGTCTGGTACACTAGAGCAAACCCCGCAGAGGGCCACCAAGGCGATTCCTCTGTGTTCTCGGGGGCTAAGTACTTGACATACAAGCTAAGAGAGCTAGGTTTGTTTCAATTTAAAAGAGAAGGCAAAGAGACCTCATTCCTGTCTACAACTACTTGACTGGAGGACGCAGAGAAGACAGGGACAGACTCTTCTCAGAAGCACACAACATTAGGATGAGAGACAACAGACACAAGATGGAACATAGAAAATTCTAACAGGAGATGAGGGTTGTTGTTTTGGTTATTTTAAACCATGAGAGCAGTCAAGTGGCACAGGCTGTCCAGAGTAGTTGTGGAATCTCTGTCCTTGGAAGTGTTCAAAACTCAGCTAGACAAGTCCCGAGTAATTAATCTAATTCAAACTGTGTTGAAAAGGGGCTTGGATTGGATGACTGACAGTGGTCCCTTCCAACTTAAACTATTCTGTGATTCTGTGAACTCCAGCACTTGACTGATCTTCACCGAGTAGTTATAGGGTACTGACACAGAACATCTCCAGTTCTCCCAAGATGAACAAATGTTGTTGATGCCAAAAACATTTCCCAAAGTCATGGCAATGACTTTAGCATCAAAAATGTTTCCCAAAGTCATGTGGGAGAAGCTAATAATGATGCTGACTCACTACAAGAGCAGAAAGCAATCTTTTTTTCATGAGTAAGTACAGATCACAACATGGATGTACACATCTTATACTTGTCAGTTTTCCCATATTGGATTACTGGCACCAACTTCACCAACTCAAACTTTCAAATAAAAGCAGTCCTTGAGCTTGGAACAGACCTATCTCTGTGGCACTTTGGTACTGGGAAGCTAATGCTGCAAACTTCTTGAATTCTGATACTAGGCATGTTGGCAATGCATCATTGACTACAAAGGCTACTCAAATAAGAGGTCCGTGCCTTGAGTGTTTGTGTGAATGCATACCAACAGCGATGCTGACTTGAAAAAAGAGCATCTCAAATTTAGCGAGGAAATCAGAAAATAATGGTTAAGTATTTCCTGAAGTTTTGCTGGAACAACAGTACACTGGAAATTCCTCGTTCTGTTGCACATGCTTTTGATGAAGTTTTAATGTACAAACTTGCTTACAGTAAAACAAAACATAATTTTTATGAAACTGTTTAGGAGAGATGCACTCAACACATACTTTTTTTTTTTTTAGCTCATCTTAAATGACCTGCAAAAGGAGGGATAGAAGAACCAGGAAGAGTGCAAGAGCAAGGGTTGTTTGTGCACTTTTTTTTCTTCTTACATATACTCAAAAGAAAGTCTGAACGAATCAGCGAGTTTTACTACTGAAGTCTTGGCTTCCTTCAAATCATACATCAGCTTTAAAATAATTATATTCAAAAAAACATTTTCAGCCCTGTCCTGTCAAAGAAGCCCTAAGCACCTCCCCAATCAACCTTCATCCCCATCAAGAAACTCTAAAGCCCAATAGATATAAATCCTTTTCCACTTGAAAAAAAAAAAAAATCAAAAACTTATAATGCTAATGAAGTGCTGAATTAACAGAAAACAGTAGTATTTTTCTAGATGATTTACACTGTTGAAGAATCCCCAGAAATTTTCTAAATTGCCTTTGTATGCTTTTTTTAATGGTCAGTGAAGATCACTAACATTAGCCTACGTAGTGTAAATAAAGATATTACAAGATTGTAAATTTACTAACAGAGGTGTACTAAAAATGCACAGTAAAAAAAGTAGTCACGAGGCTTTAAAAGATCACCGTGTTGGATTTATTCTAGGGGATAAGAGAATCACTAATAAATAGCATACTTGTCTCAAATTCCTAAGTTACTGTACCTGTAAAACTCCCTTTTTCCAGCTTTTCCCTCATCTGTAGGTATTAGCCATCCTCCATCAGCAAGTTGCATCCCATTTCCAGCTAATAAATACTCCTTACTGAAAAAGTCTTTGAGGAGAAACTGGAAAGATTCTGCATTTGTGCTGTTAACTTGTATGCACTCTTTCGAAACACCGCACATGTAAAGCTGCAAAAAATTAGATAAAAAACCAAAATAATGACAATACAGTAGGAATTCAGCTTAGAGTTTTTATATCTAATGTTATATATTCAGATAAAATATTTCCTTGAGGCTGAGACAGCTTTTGTCTGACCTTGTCATTTCATATGTAAACCAAGGAGAATGGAGGAATTCCCAGCAATTTTTTAGCACAACGGCAGCATCACAGTGTGCTTTAAAATTGTTTAAAAAAATATTCAATAGGTTTTGTACCTTCACTGTACCAAAAGCAAGAGGTTTTTGATATAGGCTTACCTAAGCTTAAATTCTAACTGTTGTCTTAAAATAGCTCTTCATATGTGTTAAAAATCAATAGCAACTAAAATTGGTGGATTTTTTCCTTGTTTGATGCTTCTCTTGTTTGATTCTAACATCACAGAGACATTTATGACCCTTATTATTTGGAATAGTCTTAAAAACTGTGGATATGCAAAACTACTTAAAAACTGTAGCAACTGGTAGAACAGCTACTGTATATACTTATCTCAAAACTGAAGAATGTATCTATTCAAAAGCTACTGAGTTTTTGCTTGCTTGCCTTAAGGAACAGATCCCAGTAAAGACACACAGTAAAAAGATATCAAAATACCTCTTCTGTAGAATAAAAACTAGGAGATTTCTCTTCTACTGCAGTTTTCAGAGAGATTCTATTTCTTGCAGATGTTTTAATGACATAAAGACTTCCTGGCTGGGAGCTAATATTTTGCCTGTATTTCTTTTTAATTCTCATTTCCTGCAGATCTCTGGCACAGCGGAGATTTGTCATCATCTTGACCATAGCTACAAAGAAAAAACAATCCCAAACCATCAAAACCTTTTAAAAATATGTATCGATTTAAGATATACAGTCACACTATAAAAGCAGATTCAGAGAAGCATATTTTCTAAGCCACTCTGCAGATTTTTAGAAACTGCAACAGTCTAAATATTCAGACTTTAATGCATTTAAAAAGCAGTGTTTACTGAAGGCATTCGAATATTTATATGAATTAATGGTATTAAATGATTATGAAGATATAAGTCCCTGAACTAAAACTTAAATCCACATATTTTTCTCAACGGACTGAATTCTGTCTTCACAGAAAACTCCAAATGAACAGAAATTAGTTGATGATGACTACAAAGTCTGAGATTTGAGACCTGAGATTTTGACCTGTAAATACGGGATCTATTTTTGCAAATGTTCATGCATCTGTTCAAATATACACGAGTCCTTCTGAAAAAAAATCCAGATTATCTGATTGTAATAGTTACAGAAATTATAGTCACTGGAATATTCAAGAGAGCTTAGAAGGCATAAGCTGACATGCTAAATAAAGTCAAAGAGTTGAGCATTTAAAATATGCCTCTGAAAATGACACAATCAGCCATTTATATGGTTCAGCCTACATTTTAATTAGAAAACAGAATGAAAACAAACTTCTGTACAAGTGAATGAAGTATAGCAAGGCTAGTCTTTAAGGTTCCTAGAATACTTTACTAAGAGCTATATAAAATCAAATATCAAATGAAACATAAGCCATCTTGTTTCTGAAGCACTGTGTGAAAACAAAGTTTTCATGTTCTTAACTAACTTTGGAGATGAGTTGCCTAGGTTTTATTAGAAGTGCAATATAAAATATTAGGAAAGTAATTATTTTCTAATTTTCCTGTTCCCCCCAGCTTAAAAAGAAGCTTCTTTTTTATTTAAAAAAAGAAGTCTGACAGAATATGCAAAACTCTTAAAGGTTCAATTCTGATAGCTGGTATTCACAATAGTTAAGTGATCAAAATCTGAAAATACCTAAATTGCCATTTTCTAGGTCAGTGTCTGCTGCATGCTGGATGCAAGACTGGTGATCTTGAGGTTCCGCAATATTTTGCTCAGTTGTGATCTGATTTAATTGCATCTCTTCAGTCATATTTTTGCTGATCGGCAAGTCACAGCTTTTGCTGCTGCCTTGTTCACCTGTAGAAAATGTCAGCTTGGTCTTGAAGGGTGGAATAAAAGTTTTAGCAGTTTTGCCAGATTTGTGCAAACTTCTTGTTTCTTCACTGCCTTTTGCGGAGGCCTTACATGGTGTAGCAACCCCTGAGGTACCATTTAAAGACTGCCTTAGTGCACAGTGCTGAAAAATGGCAGGTTTAGATTTGAATCCTTTGAAGTCTTGATCTGGTAGAGTAAAGGTAGGGTTCTTGACTTCTTGTCGTTCTTTAGTAGCCCTACAGAGATGAAAACATTTAAACATACAGGTTCCAGCTTCCTGACAAAAATCTTTGTTAGGATTTTTATATTCTTAATTTAGTAATACCACTTTCAACACTACGTCAATGAAAAGATAAAATATCAGTCTTTTACACTTTAAAACTGAATACTTGATTTCTATTTATCGAGAAAAGAGAAATACCAAGTGTAAAATTTATTTAGCATCTCATTGATCTACTGCAGCAATGTGTGTTATATGGTAATCTACTATGTTTATTTTGAAGTAAAATTATTAGTCTTTTATAAAGTTGGGTAGCAAATTATTACCATCTGTTTTTAAAAAGTTACAAGAGCTTGTGAGGTTTTAAGAAATTGCATTAGAAGAACTGTAAAATATATTACAAATTTCTCACCCAAAAGGTTGACAAGTTATGGGTTTTAAAGGAACATGGTACATAAATTTTCTTCTGTCTTTGAAAATGCCTGTAAGATAAATAGAAAAAAGTTGGAAATGGATATTTACATCACAGGCTTTTTTTATATTAATGTTATAAATATACAGAAAATTTTCCAGAGTGGATTTAAACAGCTTTGTTGTTTTGTGTCGTTACCCACCCCCCCAATAAAATCTTTGTAGAAAACATATTCACACTAGTTGCAGACAGCTCTAAAGGATAAGTGACCACAATGCTGAACTCTCAAAAGTCCCTATTTGTGAGCCTGCAAGATGTTTTTAGGCTCCTGAAAGGGAAATATTTATCTTATATTTAATTCCAGGTAGGCTCACCATTCAATTTAGACTCTTTTTTAGCAATGTTTTGGGTTTTTTTAAAGTTACAACAGAAAAAGGGCACATTTGCACAAATCCCTCCTTCCAGCATTGAAGGACATGCTTATCTTGGAATTATTAACTAAATCATGTCTGCCTGGAATTTGTGCTATGTCCTTAGGCTGCAAAGAGGAAGTTTCATATGAGAAGTCATATACACAAGATGCCACATGCTCTGGAAGTCAGAGGCAAGACTGTACTGGAGATTAGAACTGTTTTCAGTTGTTCCACCAAAGAATAACACCGTTCAGATCCTGCTACATGATAGGATAATATTTATATACAAACGGTATAAAATTATTCTGCAGCAGTGACTTACAAATTCCATTTAAAACTTTGAATCATGGGTTTTATGCTTAGAATAGATTCAGGACAGCATTCAGGAACCAATATACTGGTTAAACCAACATAACTGATGAAGCCTGCTCCTGAATTCTAGGTGAGAGCATATAGTGCCTAGAAAGAACAAGTTCCTTAAAGAAAAGCCGTAGCCAAAATCACATTATCCTAACACCCCAATCACTAACTAGCTTCACATAAAGCATCAACTCAAACTTTAAAACCTTGATTTCACTTTCATAAGCCTCCATATTACTGGCTCAAAATATTAAAAGCATCTTAATGTAGACACCTATCTGTAAATATATTCTTCACAAATTATATGATGAAATTACCAGTACCTTCTCATTTTCCTGTAGATACAGTTTTTAATTGAGAAACTACAGGTCAATAAAGTATATTATTCCTACTGAAACTAGAATTTGTGAAATTTAGGATTGTGAGACACTGGATAAACTCCTACCGAGCTGGAAATTAAACAACAGTTCTTGCAGAAGTAGTACACTGTAATATATTTAGATTCTACACAATGAGGCATACCATTAATCATCTGATTTCAAGTCAGCAGAGATACTACCACAGCAGCTTCCCTGAAGTTCCGTGACTATATTGATAAAAGAAGCAGTTAAGCAATCTTGCTATATATGTTAGTTATTTGGAAACTGAAGAATTCTAAAAATCACAACTGACACCAGATTACTGCTTAGAACAGAAGAAAACTAAAATTACCATCAGGAGTGCTTTTCGAAGCTTTCAAAGATCTGGAGGGATTCTTTGTTCTGTTAAATTCAAGCAGTAGCTGTCTTTTAATTGGAGGTTCTCCTAGGATAAAACCGCAGGTATTTAAAAGTGATGTCCCTTTTAAATTCAGTTTCTTACCAATACTGTAAAACTTAATTATAATTTCTAAATAAAACATTCAAGGAGTCAGAGCAAGCAGAAGTAACAAGTTTTCAGATCACATGTCTGTATTAAATGGCCTTTTCAAACACAGAGCTACTTCACCACAATTTGCAAAAGTTTCTTCTGTACAGAATGACACAGTATTGTGTTACCAAGAATGATTTCAAGACTCCATATAATGAAGTCTGTTGCTGAATCTTTTGCGGTCAGTAGGTCTGTTCCATCCAAATCAAAATTTGTGAGCCTAAAGTTATCAAACATACTCAAGACTCTCTGCCTCAGAAAGTGCACCACAGTGGACTTCAGCAGCACAGCTCACTCCCCATCTTTTTTGTGCTTTCAATAAAGAGTCCCTCCAAAATTCTAAAAAAGTGTGTAACATCTTTTACAGAAGCTGTAACTAAGGATAGGGTTGAACTGTGGCACAAGCTGTTTCAAGCTGGACTGAGTCCTGTCTGCCTTTTCACACCTACCCAAACTTTCCTGCAGTAGCCTGCCCAACCTTTGTACTTGAACCTGTGCAGCTAGACAGCGACTCTGTCGCGATCTACCCTTCCATAAATCGTTTTCAGCTAGCCCAGGTCCCTGAACAGGTCTGGGTGACTGCAGGCATTAGAGTACCAACACTTCAGCACTGAGACAGATCAGTTTTAGATAGTAAGAAACTGCGCTTTTAGACCAACAGCTATTTTTCATATCAGACTAGCAATCTCAATAGAAGCGAAAACTTGTCCTCACCTACGAGGCACAAAAAGCTGAAAATGGAACTACTACTACTCATTTTTCAATGTAAAAACACTAGATTTGTGCAGAAAAGAAAAAAAAAGTCTGCTCAGAGAGGGAAAAAAAGCAGTAGCTTTCTTCCACAACTTTACAACAAAACAGCAAAACCTGCACACCTTTAAAATTACAAATTACAAATTTAGCTTGTACTGTGCATTTAAGGCTGGAAAGAGTAGATGAACTATTGTCTGCAGCGAGAAGAATGTTTGTCATTGACACCTACAGAAAGAACTTCAACTTCTACATGACCAAAAAATCAATGTGACATGCAAAAACCCCTCAAACAGCCCACTGTGCAGAAATAGAGTTGAACATATATGAGACAAAGACCTACCGAGTGAATTTTCTTCTTCCAAGTGCCTCTTCCCAAAAGTCTTATTTTGAAAGTTTTTATCCAGTCTGCCACTGAAGGACTGTGCAGCATTAATGTGTACTCCAGAACCAGAAAGATCGTCTTCCATAAAAGCCCTTGCACTTTCTACAGCCTCCACTTCCAAGTAATTCTTTGGAGTTTGGAGAAGATGAATATTCGTTTCTGCTTCAGCAGTAGCACTGCCTGAAATTGCTTCAGATTCTGTTTTCATCCCTAGATTCTGCTGCCCTTTTCCAAAAGACCCAGTCTCCCCTTGCTGAAAGCTATTTTTAAATGATGTTATCTGCTTGGGTTTCGTACTATGTGGTACATACTCACGCATTTTGACATGGCGAGGGCTCGGAAAAGACTTCATTTCCTCAGGGTAGATGCTTTTTAAGTCAAAGTCTTCATTACAGCTTTTTTCAATTTTGGATTCTGAGGTGACTTTATCAGTCAAAGATTTTATTTGTTGACCACTCTCTTTAATTGAACTAAGTTGATCTGTAATGCAAAGTCCACTGCTCCAAAAGTCATCAGACTCTTTTAAAATTGCCTTTGCTTTCTGATAGGCATTTTTAGAGACTGTCACCTGCTTTCCACTTGCAGTGCTGAACCCAAAAGCAAGATCTGAAATCAATTCAGTGCTGGCATTTTCTTCCCCTTTTGGTAATACCATCCGCATTTTCCTAGGAACTACTTCAGTGTGCATTTCAGACTTTTCAACATTTTCCTCAACTAAAAATGCTTCTTGGACATGCGACGAAAGATCACCTTCCATTTCAGAAAAGAGCTGTCTAGCTTTCCTCAGTGACTCTACTGAGAGTTGTACAGGCTTACCACTTGCTGTACTAAAAAGTCCAAGGTTGCTTGTAGAACAATGTGACTGCTTTACCTGCTTATCTGGAACAGGCAAGTGCCCTAAAAGCTTGATATTCTGTTCAAAGCGTTGCCTCTGAGAATTTGAAACAGACTTTGCATCTGCAAAAGTGTTTGTATCTTGGTGACCATTTTCACTAGCACTTGCGTTTACTTTAATAAAATGGGAGGTGGCTGAATTAATCTCTTTGCTTCTCGCAGCATTTAAAAACTTAGTGGAATTAGGACACTCAGCATGAATGACAGAAGATGAATTCCCAGCAATTTCTGATTGATTAGTTCTTGAGTTAGTCTCCATTTCGTATTTCACAGGTTCACTGTAGTCTTCATGAAACATTTGTCTGACTCTTGCTAATGCACTTTCCGAAACAGGAACTGCTTTACCTTTTGCTGTACTAAATACAGTTGGCTTCAGATCACCCTTTTGATTTTCAACATTAAGTGTTGTTTCTTTTAACCTGGCTAAATTAGTTTCATCTTCAGGAAGACTGACTAGTGACTGGTTTTGGCAAGCATTAACTATGGTGTCAGTGAAGCAGTTTGTATCAGCCCAAGGTTTGTTTAAACGTTCTAAGTCCTTACTGTCGCAGTTCGAATAAGAAGAGCTACTTTTTGAGGTTAAGAGGAAGGATTGATTAGATTTATTGTTACTATCCTCAACAAATAAAATATTTTTTGTATCTCCAGGCACAGAATTATCTTCAAGGTCATTCGATACCTTCATTAAATGCAGAGATGCAGCAGAGTGCACAGGAATACCATCCATGTTTTCTGAATCACCCCTCTTTTTTGGCGAGTATTCCATCTCTCTCTCTGCAAACAGTTCTCCCTCTTCAGACAAACAAGTTCTACTTAAAGCATCACTCTCCTGTCTGGGAAGGGATTCCAATTCTGACTTTCCAGGTCTGACATCAGCTTTTTTATGGGCACATGAAGTTACCGAACTTCTTTCACAATCTTCACCTAGATTAAGAAGTCTATCTACTCTACTAGGAGTATCAAGAGTCACAGCGCGTTTAATGGGACTGCTCTTTACTGCCTGCTTGAATTGATCTCCAGGTTCTTCAGGAATAAGCTTTTTATTAAAATTAAGTTTTTCTGGATCACATTGAGCAATGCTTTCAATACATAAATCAGAGTCTTTGACACAGTTTTTGCCACATTTCCTATTCTTTATGGGGTTCTCAAAGTTGTCATTATGTTCCTTTCCTATGTCAACATCTGCAAAAAAATGTTCAGCTTTAGCCAAAAATCCATCAGCGATTGTTATTTTCTTGCCACTAGCAGTACGAAAACCAGTCAGATACTTCCCTTTCACTTCATTCTTTTCAACACCCACCTCTTGCTCAAAAGGTATTTGATGATGATGGTAAGAACCTATTTTTATTCTGCTTTCATTCACTAACGGGTTCTTATCATGGGTGGTGTCTTCTTCCATATTTTTATGATTTGTCTTTTGTTTATCAGAGTTCTCCAAAACATTTATATCTCTTTCCCCACACTGCACGTTGAGCAAGTGTAGAGAATGTGCCATAGCTGCATCAGAAATGGATATATCGTCACCAGCTGGAGTTTGAAATTTTTGTGCCAAATGTTCATTTTCCCTTCTGTCTTCACCTTTCTGATTAGCAGACAAGTTTTCCATTTCATCTGATAAACTATGTTGTTCTGCAGTTGTAACAGCATCTCCTAGACATGTTACATCTAACGAGTCTTCTTGCAAACTGCCTTCAACTTGGCGATCTCCTTGATTCAAAAATTGTTTGGAAATGTTATGATTCTGGTCAAGTTTTTTAATGGATGACACACTGTTGATCATAGTGTTAGTGCTATTGAAATTATCATTTTCAGTATCATTTATTGATCTTTTTGTCTGATTTTCCATATTTTCCTTAAACAGTATACTAATATTTTCCTCATTTTTTTTCTGTGTGTGGTGGGAAACAGAACCTGTGTGGGAAATGGTATCTATGCTTTTGAAATCTGAAACACAAACTGGTTTTCTTTTGTTTTCTCCAGTTGAATTGTGACATCTAGTACTAGTTTCAAAAGACTTAAAGAAATAGTTATCGTCATCCAAGTCCCTAAAGAGCTCTGCAGATCTGTTCAAAGCCGCCTTAGAAATATTTATTTTTTTACCTCCAGCTGAAGTAAAGCCTACAAAATTACAAGAGCCGCCCTGTTTAGCTACTGGAAAGCTCACATCAGATATTCTACCTTCATTTCTGTCTAAGTTAGCAAAAGTAACCTTTTTGTCATTTTTATGGAAAACCACTGCATTTTCTTTTTCATATTCCACCATTTTAGAGTCTTCATTTTTGTCTTCCTGCTTAGTACAATACTTGTCATTTTTTACTTGATTTTCAGATTTAAAAGTGCTACAAAAATCAGCATCTTCTCTTGTTTCAGAAATATTTTCCCCATTCTTTGTTCCACATGTTTCTACAGTTCCAAACTGCTGAAAGGCATGACTCTGTATCACGTTACTTTGCTTTCTAAACTGTGTAAATTCAAACTGACTACCTGTTTCTTCCAGGATACTAGAAAGTTCAGCGATTTCAGCTTCTTGGCTTGCTGTCAAGGTTTGACTTGTTTCTTGCAAGGACTGTGGACTTCTAGGAATGCTTTTACACAAACCAACTTTATGTGGAATAAACTGCGTATGCCCAGGCTTTAGGAAACTTGTCTGTGAATCTGAAGAACCAGATAAATTACTGTCCAACTTGCTTTCTGAACCTGAGAAAACCATATTCTCCTTTTTAACTTGATTTGAAAAGTTTCTGACTCTTCCCATAGAATCGGCTTCAAAGCATTCATTTTCAATATCTTTGAACAGCATTCTGCCTTTTGCTATACTGACTTCAGAGAATTTAATCTGCTTATTGGAAGCAGTCTGGAAGCCACCAAAGCCCAGATTCAAACCGCATGCATTAAGATTTCCTGATGATTTCCCTTTGTGCTTTAGGTTCTCATTTGGCTTTTTGCTGGAATACATAGGTGCTACTTGTTTACCTTCTTCAGAAGTTACTTCATTTAAAGAATTATCATCTACATAATCTAACAATTCTTTAGCAATCTCTACAGCTACATTATTGAAAGCAGCTGCTTGAAGGCTTTCACTCTCTTCAGCTGACTTTGGCTCTTCATTGTTGGCTACAGCTTCTGAAAAGGCAGCTGCATCTGTTTTCTCCCCCTGTTTTAATCCAGTACTATCATTTTCTGAGCAGTTTATTCCCAAAGGTCCAAGTACTTCTTTACAGTCAACTACTGACCAGTGGTCTGTAGCATGCCTTTTATCAGTTGATATTTTATTGCAACAATCACTACTGACTCCATTTATGCCAAAGCTGATCTGACTCAAAGTATTATTGAAACCGCCATTTGTCACAGACATATCAATCAAGTGTTCATTATCCCTAGAAGAAGACCACGCAAGTTCTTCATTCAGGCTCCGAGGTACAGTAGCTCCATCGTTCACATTTGCACTCATGTACTTATCTTGCTCACCTTTCTCTAAGCAACAGCCTTTATGGAGCAACCTGGAACGCTTTTTTGCCATTAGGTATGCTGAAGTTAGAACTTTACGTTTTATATTTGAAATTATTTCACTATTTAAAGAATCTGTTTTGTCTTCCTTCTGTGTATTAGATACTCCTAGGCATTTTAACGATGTAGCAGGTTGAGCCTCTCTTGCATTTTCCCCCAAGTCTCTCAGGCCTTGTTGCTTCAGCCTATCATTGAAGGAATTATCAGGTGACTTATCCATTACATCCATTTTTAAAGTACAAGCACTGAAATTATTTTCCTTGATATTCGATTGCAAATGCTTTCTCTCAGCAAGAAGTAAGCAGTCTACAAGAGAAGATATTACAGAAAAAAACATGTTAATAAAGTAGTTCTCGTTTACTCAAACAAATAAAAATTCATATTTCCATAAAATTTTGGCCCATAAAATCGTTTCTACACATGCTTAACACTGGTACCATAAATATCACTTTTGTTTTCAAATGTGAATGCCTTAACAAGATTGGAGATCCATTTAATCTAATCATGTTCTAATAGCCAGAAACAAGTGAGTAGGCTGCAGCTAATGCTATCAGTTAAAAAAAAATAATCCATTTTTAGTTGTAATGAAATTTGAAGAGATGGGCTTCCATTCCTTGTTTCTCAACACAAGGATTTGTTTCAAACTTTAAGAAGTACTTCAACTCCTCATATTAAGTAATTCTAGCAAGAATAACAGCTTTTTAAAAATAGGAGTATATGCTTGCTTTCATTATGTAATTTGTTTTTAAAAATATTTTGTGCTTCTGGAAGAAACAGATGTACAGTCTTAAACTCGCTAATTTTAGAAAAATAACAATACAACTTTACCATTCTTTATGATCTCTTAAAAGTTATCAACTCAGATAGGATGGCCCTTGACACTATGGATGTCTAAACAGCATTGACAAAGATAATTAAGCTTGCCAATTAGAATAATGGTTCAAGGTGGAAGTTTCTATTCCACAAACTAATCTGAGACTAAACCAGTAAGTTAGCATCAGACAACTTGATGCTATTCTGTCACTCTTATTATAACACTATCTTGATTCCCAGTTGCAGTTATTTTATCACAAACACAAGATTTTACACGTTTTTATCTGAAACATTTACATAAAAGGTTCTTTATATATTAAGAATCCTCCACAAATGATGAAAAGCTTAATAATATACCTTGCTCATCAACACTGGCCACATGACAGCCTTTAAATTCATATGAATCAGACTCCAAATGTGGTAATACAGGATGAATAGGCGATTCAGAGGTTACTTCTTTCTGTATTTTTTCTTCTTGATACAGTAAAGTATTGTTTATTGTGTAAATAAATCTCTTCGATCTCTTTCTCAAGCTGGATAACATATTGAGGTTTTTAAAGCCAGACCTAGTAAGAGTATTTTCACTATTTATTAAATGTAGGTCATTGCAATTATCTGGAGATGTAGCACTACATACAAGTGGGTGAGACAGAACATCAGTTATGACAGATTTAGAAGTTGTTTTTAAATGCTTGGAAAAGCTGCCATTGTAGACTACAGAATACTCCGTGACATTTGTCCTTTCAATTAAAAAAGAATTGCAGTTTAAGAAGCTCATTTTGGAAACCTTCTCAGCTGCACATCCTTTTATTAACTTTGGATCTTGAACACTCAGAGACACAGATTTTACTGGAGTTATTTCTGATGTTGGGTTGTTTTCAGAATTTTTCACTTCATAGCACTTTTCTGACAAATTGACACTCAACAGCTTTTGTGCCTTTATCAAGCCTGAAGTATTCAGTAAAGGTGTTTCCACAGCATCATCCTTGGTCATTAGTACTGACTTCTCTTCTAAGTTTTTCTCTCTACATAAGTCAGAGGGTGGAGAGCTACATATAGACATTTCCAAGTGAGTTACATCAAGATCAGACAAGTTCAGCTGAGACCACTGGCTTGATGAAGATTGCACATCATCTTTCACAGGCTTCTCATTCTCAGATGACTTGTGTGTTCTATAATCTGGCACATCTCCTGCGATCCTAAGTGACTCCAGTTCCTTTTCGTGTCCCATTAAACAGCCATCTTTACCATCCCCTGTATCTTCCTCTGTGTTTTGGTGTAAAGAATCTTTCATTTCAATAGAGTGGCTTTTTTCAGTCCAGCTAGTTGTTTCCACTTCATGTGAAATGCCAGTCTTTCTTCTAGTAGGCTGCTCAGAAGGAACATCCCCCTTTCCTTGTGCTTTATCTGTGTTTATTTCACATTTCTCCACTGCATCCACAGCATGGGGCATCAGCAGAAGAGTTCCATTGGACTTAGCAGGCATACTGAATGTATCCTCAAAGCTATTCATCTCAGCAAATAAGCCATCTAACATCTCCGACTCTAAATAGTTTAGAGAAGATGGGGAGAGGAAAAGAATTAAAAAATTATGTTTTAGGAAATAACTTAGGAACAGCATTGGTTTTTTTATAGGTAAATACAGCTGTCAATTTTATGGTAATTACCTTTAATCAGGAGCAAGTTTGGAAAGATAAATCTACATGTCTTTAAAGTAGGTTACTCTCCAATAGCAGCTGTTACAGGAAACAGGAGGCAAGAGACATACATGCAGATGCCTTGGCCTCCTGAGAATTGTGGTGATTAAGCAGGTTTCCAAGACGAAACCTAGCTGTCTCAAAAGAGTATTTTTTTTCCCACAAACAGGAAAATGAGTAGTAAATTTTACAAGATAAATGTCTAGATTTTTTTCTTCCAAAATTTATACTTCATGGTAGACACCAAACACCTTAAGCAGCTGCTTATTTTTGTCTGTAACTAGCAGCTATGGCAACTGTTATTTAAGGATTAATTTATTAAACTATCTTTTACTTTGATATAGAATAGTACAGTATCTAGAAAGATTTAGAAAATACTATCCTCTTTTTAACTGATTGGGAAACTTTTAAAAGTTCCATGATTGTCACAAATATTATAAAAATAATGAGAATATTTCTATACACAAACCAAACAATATGTAGTGGGGGAAAAATAACCTAAACTCTACTTTGTAGACAGCCTTAAAAGCTTACAAATACCAAATAAAAGTATTACCTTCTCAAATGAATGAAACTAGACCCACCTGTCAAAACAGTTCACATGCAAAAAGACAGCTAGGTTTTATTTTGAGAGTACTTTTAAGGCTTTTGCCATATCAAAGAAATCGTAATGAGGTACCTAAAAAAATGTCATTGTCCTCTGTTTTCCTTGGGCACATAACCAATAGCTTAACTTTTTTCCATAAGCCTTTTTTAGGTACAATTTCTATAATTTAGAATTCTATCATTTCCCCTATTAGAACTTTTAAATAACCTAGCATCCAAAAGATTTTCCATTTGGAAGTCCATAGAAGATTTCCCAATACTTAGTCACACACATCCAACTATTTGTAATACATCCATTAAGGGTTCATGCCCACCCTGTAGGCATAAAACCACTTCTCTCATCACATCTCTTGAACAGTTACTCCTTCTCTTTACTTTCTGTTTTTCACCTGAGTAGCAGAAGGTACCACTAAACAAGATCTTGAAAAGACGAAACTGTAACACTACAGATTGAGTGCACAGTCCTTTTCCCTTATTAAAGTACATTCCTCTGGAGTAACGTCTGTGTCCACATCCTTTCATCCTGTAATAATTTGTCAACAGAGCTTTCTAAAAGGACACAGTTGTTTGGGGTTTTTTTGTCTTTTTACTTAAACATAAGCGATTACCTTTAATCGAAAAAGAAAACCAGGAGCACCTGAAAGATTATAAAGATACTGGTTGTACACTGAATAACCTGATGGTGGGGGAGGGGAGAGAAATTAAAAAAATCAGGGAAGTTCATTTTGACTTCTAAACTCACTGGAGGGTCAGTGAAATGACAACCCCAAAAACAAGGACTGCACAACAGAGTTCTCCTGTTTTCCCAGTAAGTGCCCTAACTAGGCAATAACTACTTAATTTGTTTTCTCAGTGCCTCTCCTTCTGGGTAAATAATACAATACTCAGGGGAAAAAAAAAAAAAAGAAAAAAAAAGAAAGGCTTAAACATTAGATGTTTCTGCTCTCGGCTGACATATTCACTGACTGTTAGAACACATTGCCCCATTTCAGATTGGAATCCTTATTAGCAGAGGGTATTGAACCTACTTCTCCTACTTCATGAATAGTTCTAGACATGGAGGTTACTACCAACTACATTTTTCTCAGCATGTTTGAACCTACAATATAAAAATAGCAGTATGTATCGCTCTGCAAGCAACAATGCTTCCTGATCCCAGCATTCTCACCCCTCCTCTTCAAATTCTAAACTGATTCTTTCACAATTCTTACATGTCCCACAAAACAATATTTCTAGGGCAGTCCACTTAATTCAGATAAGGAGACACACAATCCGAAGGATATATCATCCTGTCTAGCCTGTGTCAATCTCTACAGCACCCTTTTACACCCACACATGTTGAACAAATTTCTGTTAATAGTCTTCCTTTCTGCCATTATTTCTCAACAAAAATCAAAAAGCTCACACTGAAGGGTACATTTTCACTTGTTCACTAACGTGACCTAAGAACACAGAATGAAAACATTTCTCCCCCGCCCTTGGTTGAGTATTGTCGGCATTCATTCTAAAAAAAAATAATGTTTCTTTTTCCTAAAGGATTTGTCATGTTTTGAACTGCTAATAGGTGAGGTAAACGAAGAAGGGATATAGCAAGATCAAAAAACAAGCTCACCAAAGAATAATGACTATCGAGGTGAAATGTCATGATAAAACTAAACCTGTTCAATATCTAGAAGTAGTAGTCTTGCTCCCCCTTGAGCCTGTACCATTTTTCTCTCTCAGCTCTCCCATATAGTCTCACACCTTCACTCACACCAGTACTAACCTGGTTGTCACCCAGTGGCGTGGTAACCTGATATAATTCACTGACTCCGCAGAAACTGATTCTCTTTTTTAAGGCTAGATTAGTTTTACAAAGCGGAATCAATTCAGGGAGTGGGAGTACACAGCTGGCAAAAAAAATGTAACTTTATGCTCAGATCTTGCTTCACAGAATACTCAGTAGTAAAGCAACAATGCATACCAAAATCTTTGATGTCATCTTCAGCATTTAGCTTTACTGTCTCCGGTACGGACAGCACACTTGTATCACTCATCCCAGGATGTTTTTCGTGGTTGGAAAAGAAGTTGTGCAAAACCTGTAAACAAAAGACATAAGCCCTTATATTACATACCAGTATGTGTCACTTTAACAGTAGAACACCCAACTCTAAACATTTACTGCAGTATCTGTATAATTCTGCATCTCTTAAAATGAAAGGTAACATTTTCACAGGTACATCTGAAAATAAATAGCAGATAACCCCCATTTTCAATGCAAATCAGGTTCCATTCTACAGTCAATTTAAGGTCAGTGAATGGGTTCAGCAATTTACTATAAGCAAGCCTGTGCAAAAGGAACAAAGGAGATAATGAGGAAGGAGAAAGGCTTTTTTGCTTATTTTAACTTGTAACAGTTTGTTAACTGTGAAGTTTCAGGTTGTTGAGAATCAAACAGAAGTTTGTAATTGAATCTTATTAGCTCTATCCTTAGTTTTCAGTCTGAATAATCATTCAGCTTTCATATACACAGTAAAATTACAATTAAGCAAGAATTCTCCCTAACACTATCAAAGGACTGAAATTAATACTCAATTTCAACTCCTGGTGTAGTGGTTGAGCTCAAGAAGTTACTGCCAAACAGTAACTCCCAAAACTTTGACAAAAGAGGAAGAAAAACAAACCAGCCCTCAGATAAGTAGCACATTGCAATTCCTAGGTTTGATTTCTCTTTGAATGACTCCCACTGCTGCTGAATCCAAATTTTTTTGTTTGGTTGGGTTTTTTTGTTTGTTTTTAAAAACACAGCAAATCTATTCCTCAAAGGGGGTCTACAGCCAGGATTTGCAAGTTTAGTTTTGCAAGCAGTAACTTTTAAAAACAGCCAGATAGGAGAGCCTAGAATGAAAATGACAGTTTTTTATTCTTGGCTCAAGGAATGTAAACATGTAACTGAATAGCTTAACTGAAATTAAAGAACATCATAGCTCTTAAAACTACTTACTGTATCAGCTCTTTCATCCTGTTGCTTTGCTCCGGAAATAGAATCATTCTCTCTAGCTTTAGAAGACAGACAGACAAGTCAATTCATTTGCTCCTAAGTGATTTGCAGAGTGTGTTCAAATACGGTTGTGTTTTGGGTTGGTTTTCACTGGATTATTTTAAATGCAACCAAAATCTGTAAACAAAAAACCTACTAAAAACTAGCTAAAAGTTCTAACTAAAAAGTCCTACAGGTGAGGCTGAGGGACAGTGTACAAAAGTAGTTTCATAACGGCACAAGTCATCCTAAATCACAGGTTGTGGTTTCTGCTATGTAGGCAAACCAGTTACCACCCTGAGAGCACCATCATTGCCATTCCCCTTTCAGGCAGTTATTCATGGAACTACTCTCCATTTTTTTCTGTCAAAGGATTTGGATGAAATCTTCAAGCCTCTGTCAGGAATTTGGGTTTTTTTTCTATTTCCTCCCACAAGAGCAGTAATATCTTTGCACCTGTATTACAAAAGGAGAAAGCGAATCCTATTTTTAAGATGCCTAAAGAGCAGTATATTCAAATAACATGTTTCATAGACACGGCATCTAGGTTCAACGCAGGAGCCAAATGGCTGGCTCTTTCCTTTCACAGGTGTCACATGGCAGAGAGTGGGCATCACTACTATAAAATCCTAGGCTTATCCAGGCAGTGGGAGAATGAGAGCTCAAACCACAATTCCTCTCCCAGAAGAACATCATTAAGTCACGGTTACTTCCCCTAGCCTTTCCTTTCAGGTCACATCATTCTGAACAAACAAACATCCAAAAATGGCACAACTTGGTAGCCTTGTGAATAGTATCACCTACTCTCTCCCAAAAGAGATTCCCAGTTCTAGCATTCATTCTTAATAGGCTTTATACAGCAACAGTATAACATTAAAAACAGCAATGTCAGGAGATGAGCAGACATCCAGGTCTTCCCATTTTCTCAAGAGTTTTCATCAACAAATCATAGGGTCAAATTTCATTTTGCTTATCATATGCTAATGAAATCCCACTTACAGCAACACCCTAGGTGGAGGCTTGATGTTTAGCATCACTGTTAGTTACCACTTAAACAGCTATCACCCACTCATCCTCATTCACAGTTAAGCTGGCACCACCGTTTGTGCAGCTGCGCAGTACATGAGGTCCAAGAATTGCCCTGTCCAAATAACCCAGGAAATATGGTCTTCAGTTGGGTCAGGATCTCAGTCTGTCCCACTGCATCAATGTGATGGTAGGCACAGTGAGGAGGAGTTAAAAATGCTGGAGCCAGCACTGCTGGCTACCTCCTTAGACTTCACAAACATACTCACGTGACTTAACCTAATAGTATCCAGTTTTGTGATAGTGTAAAGCAACCATTATCTAATCCTCTTTCTATACTTTGCTATGTTATTTCTAAATTTATATTCCCTAATCCCTTATACAAAGGAAGAAAACTTTTGAAAAGCAATGAACATTTAATTTCATTTCTTCCTTTTAGGGCTGCATTATTTAAAGTCACCCACTAAGCATCACTATAAGAGTTTTGTCCTTTTTAATAAAAACAAACGCAATCAGTTCACACTAAGTGAACTTCCAGCATCAAAACCAGAAATTTTTAACCCATAGCAACTGTTCGTTTTTAAAAATACCTATTATCACTGTTGCACCAAGTGTAGGAGGTGTGGCTAAAGAACTTGACCAGGACATATCTGGATCCACTTCTGCTCCCAGACTTTCAGAAATACGTTTCGGAGTTCTGACCTAGAAATATATTTAACAATTATTATTTCTGTGCAGAATTCTAAATGTACTACTCCAGGAAAAAGAAAACAAAATGCAGGCATCAAATATTTACCTCCACAAGTTTTGGTGTGCAAAACAAACTTCCATAGGGTCCTAAAAAACATTATGTAATAAGGACATTAAATAATACCTAAGACATAAGGATTTATATCTACAGATATCAGACATTTTGTAAAACCAAGAAGTGTAAATACAAACCAGGCACATTATTTCTCTGAGGTGTTCTGTAAGTAGTCCTTAAAATAGTGGGACTGCAAAACAAAACCAAATTAAAAAAATATTAACTTCACTTCTCAATTTCTGAAAATAAGTAAATATTTCAGATATTACATATATTACCGCCTCCATTATTTTCTTTCTTGGCAAACATGGCTATTTCCCTGACTAAGTAAAATGTAGATTTCTCCTAACCACCAGTCAGTATTTTAAACCTCACTGTAAATTTATTAGAAACTGTAAAATGATTCTTTTGGGAAATATGTTAATTTTCAGTGATGATTTGTCTAACAAATAGTATAATAGATTTCAATATAGCCATGCATTTCTTAATACTCTGTATGAAACTATGGAAATTGGCTTAATCTATTTTAAATAATTAGTTTAATTGTTCTTATAATCAACATGACTATTTTGATCAATTTTATCTGAAATATATACATTTAAATGTAGTAATCAAGGCTATTACTAACAAAAAAAAAAAATCAGTAAATATTATCAATAGCTTTACAAATTACTACTTGAAAAGCACATGATACATCACTGCTACTCTTTCTTGCACTGGATGTTGAGGACTTGGGAAGCTGAAATAATGCCAACATATGCCAGCTGTGAAGGAGTGAAAAAATGGAAAGGAAGAACACCTGAAAGCAAGGAAATTTTCAAAGTTACCTAGTATTTTATTTTCATTTCACTTAGCAACCTTCAAGTGTGATAAACATACCAGACATACACAATTATTCACTGCTCTGAAAAAGACTACCAGTCAAATACGGTGGTTTTAATACTGCTTTTTGCATAAAATCCAGTTTAGTTTATGTTTGTGTTGACGTATTTAGCATACCTAGCAGCAAGGAAGTTGCAGCAGGTACCAGGAGGAGAAGCAAGTATTTCATTTTCTTGATCTATTTTTCTTCTTGTGATACGTGGGCTTATCAAATTCTCTCTGCCTACAACACAGAATATAATAACACAATTTTACAAAAGTACAAGTAACAGTTTTGATTTTGAAGTTTAAAGATAAGCTTAAAAAATTATGCATCTGATTTTTGTTAAAAAAAACCCAACACTATTCTCCTCTAGTGTTTTGAACACGTTCAAATTCTATATTCAAACAATGCTAAACGCATTTCAAATGCACAGCGAAAACCACCTCATTATGTCACTTTATTCACTCGATATATACGGGTTGCAGTATATTTGTTTGATATTATTCAAGACATATTCCATTTCAGTTTCAACATACTGTATTGTGCCTGTCTTTTCATTGCAGAAGTTATTCTTAGGAGAAACCCAATACATGCAAACGTGCGTTTGTACCAGCTTTCTCTCAAATTTACTTAAGACATACACTTCTTGATTTGAATAAGCAGCATAAAGCAAAAATTATTTCTGGAACTGTTAGTGGAAGCACTGTCACTGGTAGCAGTAGCTATTTATACGCTATGCATCTCCAGGTAAAAGACAAAGACTGTGCCCACCAAAGCAGCAGAATCCTCTGAACAGTGAGCCCCTCACACGAAGGAGCAACTACCCAAAAGAATTCCTACTTGGAAATTTCCAAACATCTTCCATATCAGAAATTACACCCAGGTTTTTGCATTTCTCTCTGTTTCTGAGTTCCTAAATCCATATTCACAGCATGGCTGCATCTCAGTACCATACCACAGTAAAATCCATCAGCTTCCATCCATGCTCTTGTTTTCACAAGAACAAAACCTAGGTACACAAGGCAGTTGGCTCTAACCAAGAAAACCAGAAGCAGATTTCAGGCCACCCACAGGTAAACTTTGGTAACGGTCATCTTCCCTTCCTTAGGGAGTGTATACAAACATCCACAGGCACAAACACAGAGCAAGAGTAACCATTTTGAAACAGAAGAATCATAAGGTTCCTTTGTTTGCAATTTATGAAATGCTACCAAGAATTCAGTAGGGACTTAACACTGTAGAAGTCCAAATAACTAAATTTAGAAGAAACATCTTCTCAGCTGAGAGTAAGTTGAGCAGAAGTTCAGCAGTAAACTTTAAAACAAACACGGTAACACTCTTCTATGGAAGCACTGTTATAAAGTATATTTGAACACAGTTCTACAAAAGACTTTGCTTTAGGATCTAAGAACAATTCTGGTAATAAAGGGAGTCTTGTGTTTGTCTGTAGCCTGTTTAGAAAAGCTTATCTTATTGTTAGGAGGTCACGGACACAGCAGATGTACAAATCCAATACTGCAGGAATGGGGTTAGATATCCTTCCATACAAAAGTTTCTTATATGCAATCTTGCATACAGTCTCCATAGAAAAGATTCTTCTCTCTGTCCTAGAAGGATAGATACTACGGCTTGCAAGTACACTAAAAAGGAGCAGACACACGTGTACTTTCATGACGTACTTGGGAATTGAAAATAACGTAATGAGAAGTACCTCATTTCCAAATGGAAAAGTGTAACTTCTTTCCATGACTTACAGTCTTACTAACTCAAAGAGCTCCGTGCTTCCAAGTCTTTCTGAGAAAGGTTAAGAAGTGCCCTACAGATCGTCTCAGACTTCAGCATGATAAGCATCATTCTCTCTCTTGAAAAGATTTTCAGAGATTTTGCATAAAAGAAAAATCAGACTGCTAAAAAAATTCACTCCGATTCTCACTCAACAGGTTACACTCATAAGCTAATTTCTCCTTATATTAACAGTATTTAGAATATTAGGACCACGACTATTTTTTCTACAGGGAACTTCACATATACATTACTAGTTTATTACAAGGCTGAATTAATTATTAAGATTAATTCTGCATTTTTATAGGTGGTCTTCAGAAGCCTACTAAAATAAGCTTTTTAGTCATACAATTTCTGCAGTAGCATTATCTATTACATTAATAATCATCAGCTACAACAACAAAAGGTAAAAAAAAAAAAGTCCCTTGCTTCTGGAGGGCACAAGCAGCCTTTAAGTACGATCTAAAAAAAAAAATTACTCACTTGCTCCTATTTTTTTCTGATCCAGTTCTTTTCCAGGAGAAGAATAAGGTGGCATTGTTATATTTTGTTCTTTAAAAATTAGCGGAGTTGATGCCAGTTGACTGTATGCACAGGGTTTTGCCCTTGGACTTTTAAAAGATGTTTGATCAATCCAGCCCAAGGGACCATCAAGTTCTCCTAACAATTTAGGTTCATATGGGGGTGCTTCTGCAGTGAGTTCTTCAAACCAGTCGAGACTGATAGGCCCTAAGTCTATGAAGAAAAACATACAGAAAACCACATGAAAAGGAAAAAAGAAAACAAAATGAAAAAGGATCTTCCAGGCGGGATGTAAAAATACATTAGGTATTTAAATGCTAGCGGCAAAACGCATTGTTCCTTCTATTGTCATACTTGTGTTTATCTGGTTTCTAGATAGCTTTGATACCCACAAAGTATAAAAGAACGCCTGCCCAAATTCTCCAACCATTAACAAAACTAATCAAAGAGCAGATAAATATCCAGTTTGGTTAAAATTAAAAGTACACTTCTGGCTTTTAGTTTATCTCTGATTTTACTCAGACTGGCAAGTCAAACAGGTTCCTTTTAACATTAATAAATTGTATTAATACAGGTGCATTTGGCAAAAGACTAAACCTAGTCTGCATGTGGGTATATAAGGAGGCCAGAGGTAAAAAACAAGTACAAAAAAGTAACTGAGCCCACATTATGAAAAGGAGTTACAAATAAAAATTTAAAGAAATATATAAAAAAGTATATATTAGCAAATACAGATTAGGGGCAAGAAGAGCAGCTAACAAGTTGCATAATGCTCTTCTGCAACACAGCATATGGCAGATGCGTATAAATTATCAACGTCCAGAAAGCAACCCTAATAAAAATTATTTACTGCAGAGACACTGTACCTGATTCACTGCAACATGCCTTAAATATTTCAAAGAAAGTTAGTCTTTCCACGGGTTTGCAAGCCATTTTCTTATCCACAACATTACTGGAACAGTTGTTGAAAAACCTGAGAAGTGAGAAAACACTTTCATACAGTGTTATTCTAATGTCATTGGGCTGCAAGTCTTAACCCTGCTTTCCTGCATTTCTTGGTAGGTGTGTTGTAATCCAATCTGTTTAGCGTTAGGACTGTGACAGGTGTTCAAACACTGCAATTATGAACATGGCAAGAAGACAACAGACGAGAAGAGCATAGGGAATTATATTAGAGAGAATAAAAAATCCCAGCAAATACAGGAGAAAATCAAGACAGAATGGGCAAAACACTTTTGAAGTATTTTAAATACAAGTAAAAAAATGCAGGCTCACTACTATATGTTAGAAGAGAATATATGCTATTACATATCAGCTCTTACAACCATTACAACTTATGTGCCAAGAATTTGATTTAAAGTTGCTTTCAAGGGGGGAAGACACAGACAGTTTCACAGTTCGGTTAAAAAACAGGTGTAAGTAAGACTGCCATAGAAACTCTTCTGTTTAACACATTTATTGTTTCCACAGTAAAATCAATTTCCCACACGACTGTTGTTTCATACAAGCAGCCTGACCAAAACGCCGGGAAAGCCAGGCATTTAAAAAAAAAGGGTAATAAATTTAAAATTGCCTCAGAAGTACATTTGAAAAGGTCGAAGCGAGCTATCCACGCTGCCTCCCGTTAGGGGAAGGTCCTGCCGGGCAACCACCCACGCACGGGGCGCTGCCTGCGAGGCTGCC